GCCGGAGGGATTGTGGAGATGGGAAGGCAACGCGCTATCACCTGGTTTGTCTTATCTTAAAAAAGCAGCAGGATGTGTCACCTCAACTCCTCAGAGAAGAAGATAGAAGCCTTTTGGTAATTTTTTATATATGAAAGATTCCTGTGAAATGATTGCTAATCTATGCAAAAAAGCAATCAGGGACTCATTCATAATGCATGAGTGCAGAGATACCAATTTTGCAATGCTTTCAGATTATTAGATGTTATCGTGAATGCAGTAGATGAAATATGAACACTCCTACCTGTCCCACTGTAATTACATGACTGCAGCGGTTGAGAGATACACTGGCAGGGAGAGAAAATGGCAAGAAATAAACAGAGAAAGACAGACAAGCAGATAGAACATCCATTACTATCAGACTGCAGATAGGTCTGAATGGGGAATATTTGTTTCTAACAGCTTTATGTATCCATTTGTGCCATGATTTATCAACCTAAAAGCCGTGGTTTTAAGTACATCTGGCTGACATTTTAATGGTCCATCAATCTCACGGTGTCATATGATAACATTTTGAGATCATCCTCCTCCCTGAGCCTCGGAGAGACGGGGGAGAAAAAATCCAATAAATTGGCTGCAATCCCAGGAAAATGATGATAACCTATTTCTAATTCAAAGGGAGTTCAAAGTATTAATGTTAGATAAGCTGCTCCTCATATTAATGCAAATCAAATTTCATTTAGGATATTTTTGTTCTATACGAACCTTAATGTACAAAATCATTTCTGGGTGCATTTTCTAAACTGCTCTGGTCCCAGATTGTTGAATGTGCTGTTATTTAAATAGAATGTGTTATTTTTCTTATGCAGGCAGAGCTAAGGAGATGAACTTTGAACAATCCCAGCTGATGAAGGCATTTCCAGCCTCACATTAAACAGTCATTCCTGAATAATGTAACACCGCCCCTGTCGCTCTCTTTCTGTTTAAAACCCTAATGTTATTAACAAGGAAATGCAGAAGCGTTGAGTTTTAAATATTAGTGTTGAAGTGTCCAGGCTGTTCCTGTCATATGTGAGGGTTTGTGAAAACCCTCACATATTTCATACTTTTACATTCTGGGCAATTCCGAGACATGGGATTTGCTCTTAAAACGGAGTACAACGAGGATGAAGGGCGGTATAAAAATCAATGAGGCTTTTCAAAGGCAACAAGAAAACCCAGCACCTTAGCCTGCAATTAAATAAGAGCACTGCTGGCACCGGGGATGACAGAGTATGTTGCAGGTGCTCCAGACTACACAGGATCAATACTATGACATGATACAATCCATGATGGAAAATGGGATAGGAAATGGAAGTTGTCCCGTTCCCTGTGTTTCAGATGTTTACTAAAACCAATTCAAGCAGGGCTGTACACCGTGGGCTGATTTCATAAACATGAAAGAAGAGCTCTAGACCAAACACGTCCTCCAGGTGGAAGTCTAATTTGAAATACTTTGTCTAGGAAACAAGGTGACAGTAGCCAAGGGGACATGTTGCAAGGTGATCAACGGGGTGGAGAAAGAGAAATAAAACGTTGAGACATCACAACGTGTGAATATTTTCAGCTCACGGTCGGCAGGAAATGTTTATAGATCAACTTGAAGACTAGTCAGTTGTCTTCAACTGATGTTTAAACAACTGCTGGTTGGACCAACAATTTTCCCAGAGGAGGAAGAGGAGTCCTTCACATTTCTGTTACCATTTTAAATTTATTGATTCTGTTTATGCTGAGAACAAAAGAAAGAAAAAAGACACTCTAGTCAAGTCAAACAGAAGGCAGTCTTTTGTAGTTGAAGAAATTAATGCATCTTCTATACTGAAGACTTGTCACCTCAGCAGTTTTTCAGTTGTTATGTCTGTTTATGCTTTTGATCAAAGCAAGGCATTTATAGTTGAAAACAGATAAGGACTGCAGGCAGGCAGGCCAGTCAGGAACAACTGCTCTATCCGAAAAATCTAGGCTTCAGTAGTTTGTACAATCCAAGACCTAGGAATGCCTTGCTGTAAGAATCAGTGCTGTCTTAACTGGAGCGCTTGTCTATAAAATTCCAAAATAAGCCTCTACATAGCATGAATTTGCATCCTTGTCAAATACTCAACTCATCCTGAATGTCTTTCAAACCCAGACAGTATTTCTCTATACATTTTATCTAAGGCTCCTTTTTTGAATTTCTTTCAAACTGTGTGGACTGAGGAAACAGACCTGTGTAATTATCATACATTGTCTTACGAAGGGCTGCCTGACTCCCACATGTCCCTCAAACCAAACCCCCACTTCTCTGACAGCACCAGGGTCTCCTGCCAGCTTAATCGGACCCCTGCTACTAACACCAGTCACCACCCTAACTTACTGAAAGGGAAAACACCCATAGGAGGACCATGCAGCCCATCATGACAACCAGGAAGTCATGATGATGCAGTTGCACGTGTCAGTGTGTCCATGAGAACACCAGGAGAAGATGTGCAGCACACATCAACCCTGCTGTGACCAATTCCACTCTCCTCTCAAAAGACATATCATGACATAAAATATGATCACCCCACAGGTGAGTTTGCATAATGACAACCAACAACCCCAACGAGATCCTATTTATGTATATAAAAATGGTAACTGTAGGAAGTCACATCTTCCCTGGGGGAAAAAAATTAACCTGTGAAACCAAAGACAACAACACGGAACCTTGACAGTCAGGTCTAATCATGTATTCAAACCTAATGGCTACTGCCAAGCCATTCTGAGGTTGACTGTTGGACCACAGGGATCGTGTGACAGTTGACCTGTCCAGTAAGCAAATTCACATTTGCATGTCCTTCCTGCTGCTCTTACAAATTAAACTGTATCATTGAGTTTCTCAGATTAAATCAGGAAGCAGAAAAACACTCTGAACACTGAATGTTAAATGAGTTGTAAGTGGGTTTTTTTTAACTCAGGACAGTAATACATAGTTTTTGCTGTATCTCTTTCTAATGCTGACACTCTCCCTATCCTTGAACCCCTTTTCGTCATTCCCTCTGTCATCTACAATAATCTCTAGGCCTCCTTAGATTCTATTCATCAAAGCAGAAAGCCCTGACACTGATAGAAAAAAAAATACCATCTGTGAAAAGAGTGAGAGAGAATCAGACAGAAAAAGAAAGGGGTGGTGGGTTAAAATGAAGCAGGCTCCGTTGTCTTCCTCTTCTCCCCACCTTGTCAATGCCATTTCAATTGAAAAGCGTAGTGGTAATTAAATTCTAGCAGGGGTTAGGGGCAACTGTGCAGTGGTGCACTGATGGGGGCGTCTGCCCTGACATAAAGATGACACAATTCAGGAGGACAGAGGAGAGCGCCAGGCGGACAAGTAGGGAGGGTGACAAATGTCATTTATTCACGTACACTGGCAGATTTGTACTACTCAATCTTCCTGGCAATAGAAAATAGAAAATGAAATGGATTTTCAAACTCAGCTGAATGCCACCGTGAACTTTTCACCAAATCAGGGATGTTCTAAACAGATCTTTCATTTCCATCAGTGACATTTGCAGGATTTTGTGTAATGCTTAGAAGAAGAAGTGATTAAGTGGAGAATTAGGTAAAGCTTTCGCGTGTGTGTGTGTGTGTTTGTTGGCACAAGCATATGACTAACAAAAGCACTGGTGTTAATTCACATTACAATTTAGTTATAACCCAGATGGTCCACACATACCCACAAACCTCAACTGGCCCTCTATGCCCTTCTAATATCAACTACAAAATTGCTAATACCTTTTTAATTAAAAAAAAAAACACAATAGAGATCTGTATAATAAAGTGTATTTCTGTGTTTTTTTTACAGCAGGAAAAGAGTAGAGAAGAGAGTCAAAAAGGCAGCGGTGTAAAATGTTTGTTTAAAGCAGTGTTAATAATGATTAATATACTATATAATATTGGTATGTAAAAAATATTCCCAAACAAAGGTGACTTTACCATTTATTTTGAACCAGATATTTGATGTAACTCAGTTCTAAGACATTATCAAGAAAATACATTATTAATTAATTACAAATTTAGTTTACAACTCCATCATGATTTTGTATTATTTTCTATTAACTTCCAGCAAATCTGTCATACTCCAACGTGATGTGCTGTGATGCGCTGCTTTGACAGGGGTTCACTGATTGATTGATATAATCAATATGAATAATAGGTCAGTCTAAGCTGCTTAAAACTTAAAATTACAAATAAATTCCTGCTAGAACTTCAACATTCAAAATACGTTAATCACAACCTCTCAGTAGGAGTTCATTAAACTTATTAGTTTAACTCTTGTGCCATCTAGTGGACAAAAGCTTAGTACACGTCTCCAGTCATTTGGCTCCCCACATGAGGCTTTTCGTGTCCTTTTTACCATTATATTAGCTCATAACTACATTTCAACGTCTACACTTTACTGGTTCAGACTGCTTTATCCAGAACTGTTCAGTGTGACTTTTTCATTGATCCCATTCTGTTAGTTCAGTTATGTTCCAGCTGGAGACACCAACAACAGTAGCACAGACTGTCTGTGACCCACTAGTTTAGTCACCAAGTTGTGTCAGTATTTGTTCAGAATGTCCAGAACTTCCTGCTTTATAGACACTGGAGAGTGCTGTTGAACCCCAGGCCCACCAATACTGGTCTCCCAGCAGTCAAAGCCACAGTCTTTCAAGTCCTGCGCAGTTCTCTGTACAACAAGTGAGTCAGTCTCTGTTGAAAAAAGGCCAGATGAAGAGAGTTAAAATCGAAACAGTGAGTATCAGAACACTAAAAAGAGGGTGAGGAAAATCACAGTTCATAGTTTCTATTCTGCCGTTTTCATGATGTTTTATCAACTACGGATTCCATCACATTAAGCAACTTGAACACTTTTAATCATTGGATCATTTAAAAACTATACACTGGAGGAATTCTGCCCCTCCGCCTGCATTTTCCCCTCTTCTGTATGTAGTTAGGATGCGGATTACATTGGGCTCACTAGATGCTAGCAAAAACCAAAGAAGAATTAGGGATTGGAGGAAGTGTGGCATCAACACATAAGAGACTGAGATGGTGATTTTTATATGTTTAAACAAAGTTAAAAGGTCAGGATTTGGTTCACAGTTTTTAGGTCTTGTGATTCAGGATTTGGGAGAGATATGTATCACTAGTGGGGGGTGGGTGGGTTACTGACCAGTGTCCCAGTGAGGGTAGTTGGTAACACTTTAGATGAAAGAGCTGCTCTCAAAGAAAACACTAATAATTGGTTCAATCTTCACTCGATAACCTACTGTAAAGTGAAAACACAATGTTGAAAACACAGTACACAGATACTAATTTGTATTAGTAGATAAAGTACTGAACGACACAGAAGGATATGATAGGAGCCATTTCTGCACTGTTATGAAATTATGACACAATTTATAACACATCAGACCAGTGGCGGTCTCATGAGTGATTTGCTCATTTGTTTGCCTGAGAGGGAAGATGATACAAATGTGCTGCTGCTGCACTCCAAAAGACAGTTCGTTAGTGGCCGCTTCACCATTGCATCATCACTCAGATGATTTGTTTCAGAAAAGAGGAGTAAATGGGTTTTTGAGGAAAACAGTACTTGTTGTCAGCAGGCGTCCGACAATTTGGTTCAAACATCCCTCATTAGGTTCAATTCATTTCAGGACAAATGCTTCAGATGATCCTCATCCTTGGCTGGATGAGGAGTCATTTACATGCCCCATTTAAAGTGGGGAGGTTATTACAACAGCAGATACTGTGAGGAGAGAGAATGAAGACCTGGTCTCTGGTGTCTCTGAGGATTCTCAGGCCTATAGCTCATGGTATTCTCACCATGCGACCAAAGGACTTTCAACTCTCTTTTAGCTTTTATTACTTTTGACTTATATTATATATACACACCATTGTTTAATATAGTGGATCAGCTCTGTAGACAGGTAACAAGCCCACAGAGGCTGAATACCTGGAATTTTCCACCTGTCAATCAGAAGTGATCAAGCCTCTGGGACAGAAGCTGAAACATTTTAGTTGCTTCAATCAACATGTCTGCTGATACCGTTATAACTTTTTTGGTTTTTAACATTGAAGTTATAAACTTGAACTTGACAGTGTACCTGGTCTGAGGAGAGTGATGCCACAACCTCCTCCTCCTGCTCCAGTTAGTTTGCTGTGGAGTCCTCTGGTTAGTGTGACCCGACAGAGTGTGTCTAAGGTGGGGTGTCCCACCCCCATTACATTCAGATGATGCTGGTTAATGTCAATAAGCTCCTGTAAAAGAAACAACTTCAATAATCTTTAGTTACAGGATGAAATGGCTGAAATTGTGCAAAGAAAATTTAAAATTCCCCTGTGGATTTGGTGGTGAACAGCAAATACATTTAAATTCTAAAATCTCAATATATATATAGTATACCTCTAAAATGTTGTAGTGCTCTCCTGTAATGGGTTCAGAGGTCATCTCTGACAGGACTTTCTCACAAGTGCATGAAATGCCGTCGACTGAGTCAAGCACTGGAATCATTATAGAGGGAAACTAGGAGGAGATGAAACAAAAGCAATGGAAATCAACATCTCTTACACCAGGGATATTCACAAATAGTCAACTTCCCAGAACATTTCTTTCTCAAGAGAATCATTTGCTAGAACAGATGGTGCTCTGACTAATTTGATTGGCTGAGGGGTTTTATGAGATATGGGTTTTCCATAACTTGGTCTACTAAACCAATACAGTATCAGCCCTGAAGATCAAGCAGGCAATTACAAGAGAAGGACCAAAAGTTCCAAACAACTTTTATTATTTCCAAAAGTGTCCACATTTTATTTTATTCAATCTATTGCAACAATTTAGCTTCTTGTGATTTTCTTTCTTTTGAAATTTGAAAGGGAACTGGATTTTAGATGTAAATCTACATACATATCACAAGAACATATTTTTTCCATTTGTCTCACAACTTTCTTTTGGTTTTTATTATAATTTTGAAAAGTTTAGTTAAAAAAATTACATTTTTTTTTTTCAATTACTTGACATTTTAGACAACCCCATTTGGAATTGGGGTCAAATCCACATGGGGTCACAACCCCAAGGTTGAACAACACAGTTCTAGAGTCATTAATTTTGATCACCCTCTGCATGTTTGACACATGAGACTCACAGTTCAACAGTAATCAAAACATAGTTAGAGGGAAACAAACTTGTCTGATTTTTATAAGCCGTCTAGAATTTGAACACTTCTGGCAAAAAGATTGTACATAAACACAGACTGTTAATTGTCAGCTTTGTCTTTGGTTTGTGCTGATCAGTAATATTACAACAATGTCACAACAGGACCCGGGACCATCGACGTCTGAGTGTCACCAAGGCAACAGCACACAGGGGTTCTGGCTAAGAGTTTCATTTCAATATTTTATGAAGGCACTCACCGCTGGTCTCTGGAGTATCTGCCATGAAAAAGTGCCATCTATTATATTAATTACAGTCGACAAGAAACTCACGGGGGAGGAAGAAGCCATTTAGTACCTTGTTAATTTTGTCCTTCACCCTGGCAACAAGTACCTTGGTACTGCGTGGTACTTTTGTGTTAGTGAGGAGGATTCTTAATAGTGGCACTCTGCAAGTAAAGCAGACAGATCACAGTGTTTAAACAGACACGTGATTAAGGCGTGCTAATTTTACTCGGCCTACATTTGTTTTCTGTGAGAGGAAAAGAAAAAAAGAATCCCCTCCTTACTCACATTAAATGGAAGAAAATTAAGCAAAGTTAATCAGTGACAGTACCTGCTGAGAGGAATTATCTTCCCAACCACAAATCTCAGCATGCCACCTGCATGAAAAAAAAACAACAAATGATTAAACAGGTAATGATCAGACGATGATGAAGGGCAGCAGTTAAATTCTCTAATGATTTTAATCCAGTACAGTGTGTCCACAGAGACCATAGAAGACATTAGACCACAATCTGCCGGTTTCAAGCCTCACCCCACGTTCCCACAGCGTTGTCCACTCCTGAAGGATTACCATGGATGATCATTTCTCCTTTGAAGGCCCAGCTGTTGATCAACTCCAGATCCTCCTGGCACCATCTTTAAAGTTAAAACAAAATGCTAAAAGCCAATGGACTGCAAAATGGCTGTGTATGCTGGACAGATAAAAAAATACATGTTGAATGAAGCTGCTTTACAAGTGTATGTAATGAATCATTTTTATATATTGTAAATACATCTGTTGGTTTTTGTACAATGTATCCACCATAACCAACAGGATATTTTCATCATTTAACATGGGAAGGAAAAATTAAATCAAATACAAGAACATTTTCAAGGCATGTCTGTGTGTATATAATACCCTATACAGTACACACAAAGTCCTTAAATTGCACACATTTTAGACAACGGATTCCCAAACGTTTTGTATATAAGACTTTTATCAAGCCCCCTGACACATACATTCACTCCCAAACTTCACTGAATTGTATTTAAACACTAATTCCTACAAAACTTGTAGTGACTTTGAAAAAATGCTATAAAATTACACACCGGTTTAGTTTTCCCAATGTGAAATAAAAATAAAAAAATAAATCTTCACACACCATGGAACCACTAGTGTAGACTACTGACACCACAAACCCAGTGCAGTATATACTTTTTTCATGTATACTTTACCTGGCTGTGTGATCTGTCTCCTTGAGTGGGACAGGAATTGCTCCACAGGCACAGAGCAGAGCTGCAGCTAAACACACCGAGTAGGCAGCACTGGATCCCAGTCCTGCTCCGGTTGGTAGTTCTGACCAAACTGACATGGTCAAGCTGGGCAGCTCACTAAGGATAAAGTATATAAAAACAAATGAATATTATATGAATGATTACTGCAATAACAGATGTGGTTTTATTTGTTGGAGTATGAACTATTCCCTTGAACTATATGAACTATTCCCTTGTCCATTTTTAATAGATCATTTTCAATGGTAATTGGTAGATCGCTAAATCAAAAGGTTACCAGAATTAAAGGTGAACCTACAGTAGCATAGTATGTTATGGTACAGCATGTTATAATGTACTATAGTAGTGTGCAGTAATAGCATAGAATAGCATAGCATAGCTAACTCATACACCCAACATGAGACAAACAACAAATTCACAGATGCCATAATGTAAGGTAGGTTAAAAAATGAAGGAAAAGGCATTCAGACATAAGAACAACAATAATCAAGTCAATGAATATTATATTGTACCTTTTTACAATGACTTCACCTGGCAAAGTAACTGTACACCTGCACCCATGGAGCAGCTGTATAATGTATCACAATTCATACACTGCTGTAAACTGAACACAATCGTACTTGACATTGCTGTCAGAGTCTGTCAGGGAAGCAGCGTTTGGGCAGACAGGAGAATACTCCAAGCTAATTGTCTGACTCTTTTCTCAAGGGAAACACACATCCAGACTTGTTAAAGGCTACAGTGTGGCACAGTGCCAGACTCTCATTAGTGGCCATGCTGTCAGAACCTATCACCTCTCCCAGACATGCCAGGACCGTGTCAGTTCCAGCTAAACCTCCCAACAACCTGCAGTTCTAATGTTAAAAAAACATCTCCTGTGCTTGCAGCTCCTGCGGCTGCTAAAACTAACATCCGTCCTGTCTGTCTGTTTCTGTACTAACTTCATCTCAAAGAGGAGGATTTTCTTTTCAGCTTTATATACCTCAAATACCTCGCTCCCCGCCATAATTACAAAATTTAAAGCATGGATCACTATGAATGGATCATTATAGCAAGACAGAAAACACACAGTGTAAGAAAGGCGCCTATGAAATAAAATGTATTATTATTATTATTTTTATTATGTACAGTACATAAAGTTTATAACATCACTATGTGGCACATTTTATATTCTTATGCTGTTAATGAGAAACTCAGAAGATTTTAATCAATAAAAATAAGTGACACGCTCTGTTCTTCTTGTGACTATGACACTGCATATAAACAGTTTATCTAGTAATGTCTTTTCATTATTAAGTTACTTACAATACTTATAGTAATAGTATTATAATAGTAATAAAACTTACTTTTTATAAGTAAAGTACTAGTAACTACTAGTAATAAACTACGAATGGGGCAGTGGTGGCTTAGTGGTTAAGGAAGCGGACTTGGATCTGGAAGGCTTCAGGTTCAGGTTCAGGTCCACCAGCTGTCAAGTCACCACTGAGGTGATCTGAGCATGACAATGTCTCCACTCACTGCTCCCCAGGCTCTTAAAGCTGCCCACTGTTCACTTTGGTGATGGGTTAAAAACAGAGGTCACATTTGGTTGTGTGCAGTGGTGTGCTGTGTCACTATGACAAGTAGTTCACTTTCCTTCCTAATAGCTAGGAAAAGTTAAAACAATAATTTGTCAGGAATATCACTGAAAAATCATCATAAATCTCTGAAATGTAGCTTTGAGAGCTAAAAAAAATTGCTAAAGGTTATTAAAATGTTTTTTTTTTCATAGCTAAAATTAGCAAAGACAGAGCCAAACTAGCTAATCTGTGACCTGGTTCATCATCAACTAATACAAATTTTGTTTAAGCATATTTTGTTTAGAAACAATACTTAACCTTTTTTAATTTGCATGCTAATAAAGTTAATGGCCTGTAGATGCAGCACCAAGTCCTGGTCTAATTTTCCTTAAGTCAGAAAACATGTTTATTTGCACATGTGATTATTAAGAGACATCTATCTGATGAAATATGTTCCTTTAATGCACTGAAACTGAGACAAACAAAGGACTTCTGCCTCTTACCCTGATCCAAACAGTGAGATGTAGATGTAGAGGAAGGCCAAAATGGCCATGTTGCCTGTATCCAGTTTTCCATCAACGACACCAACAAAATCACGCAGCCGTCTCACAATTTCATGGTCTAGACAGTTGAGCTCTTCACTCTGACCTGTCATTGGTAACAAGACATAGACAACACAAATAAAACTAATGTCATTAATGGTTTTGAAAAAAGAAAAACTAAAATACTTTCATTACACCTTACCTCACACAAGATTGCAACTGATTTACTGTCTCATCTAATCTAGTTAAAACAGTAAGTGGGACGAGAGCAGCAAACCACAACATTACTAAGTTAAGGAACATGTTAAACACTTAAACAACTAGGGAACATAGCGCAGTTAGGGTAGTTTGTGTTTATTTGTAGGAAAAAAACACACACTACATATTGTGTACTGTGTATAGCACCCTCAGTGCTATAATCTCTTACCGCAGGGATGGGGATTTAGTTGTTTCACCTCATCCAGGTCCCAGCTGAGAAATGTGTCAATATTCGGGAGGTTGATGCAAACTTTTCCATTTGTTGTTGCCCTTAACCTCAAATACGTTCTAAGGTTTAAACACACAGCAAGTGCCACCTGTGACAGAGCGACAAAGAACTGCCATTCACGAAACAAAACAAAAAAATGTAGCAAGAATCAATAGAAACTTTGTTCTACTGTATATCACAATCTTTACCAAACTTGTCTTTAAATTTGATAAAATTAATTTGTAAAGGTCAAAAGAGTCCAAACAAATCTCTGTACGGGTATTGCAGCCATCTTTTTTAGATATTTAAGGAGATAAATGTAGCAAGCACACACTATAGAAATAACAACAAAAATCCTATCAAACATAAATCCTTCACTAATGTAAGCTTTCGTTATCCCACAAGGTTGACCAGTATCATTCTGTACAACAACATGAAACCTTAATTGAATATCCTTTGTGTTTTATCATATGACCATTGTTGTACATACACTTACAAGCATGAATACAAAAACGTAGTTATTCGCAAGACGTCAAATCTTAATTTACTCTAATGTATTGACATATGCAGTTAGGATGAAAACCTGATAAACAGTTTAACTCATGTTAGCTTTTGTCTCACCTTCCCGTGTACTACTGCGTGTTCACCGTGCAGAATAGCCTTCCCAGGAGCAGAGATAAAACAGTCGTTTACTATCATTTTTATGCAAGGCAAAAAAAAAAACGACGTCCTGAGCCGATTTAACTCTCACTTACAGTTCTTATTACTAGCAACCTAGCCACCTACAGTAAGTTAATCCTCTCAAACTACTACAGGAAGTCGACAATCGTGTGCTGTACACGGATAAATAAAGAAGGGCAAAAATATTTTCTGTCTAAAAACAGAGACACAGGCACCCATTTATACCGGAATGACACCTGGTATGTGTTAAATACACACCACAAACATCCGACAAACCGCTGTATGATCAGAAGAGAGTTGGTCTTTAAAAGCCAATCAACGTCTCCAAATAATTCAGCGATACCATTTGTGACCAATCGATGTTCGGGTAACCCCCACCACGCGGTAAGTACACCAACCTTGCTATAAAAAGAACCGCCCACCATCTACGGAACTTGCAATGGAACAAAATACACTACCTATTTTCGTAGCTGTTAGCTTTTAGCCGAGACATGACATCGTTCATTATGAAACCTGTTCACCTCTGTTGTGTTTTAAGGACAAACAGACTGATAAATAATAACTGGACAAGGATACGTTTGCTTGCAGAAAGAAGGTGGTTTTATAAATGATTTCCCAGTTATTTTATTCTCATCGGTTTGTCCTCGATGCTTGTTATTGATGTAGCTGTCAATGTGATACAATCAAGTGCTGGTACTCCTGTTTACACTAGTGACTGTATCAAACGGGAACAGCATGACATAAGTTATAGTTGCGATACGTTACTGTATATGATCACTACCTGTGCTTTTCGCTATTTAAGACGCCCAGAAATTTAAGAAGTTTACAAGTGCTATGCAACACAGCCCCTATTTATAAGTTGCCATTAGTTTAAATATGTCTGTAACAATTTGTCAAGACATTTCATTACCATTGTTTGATTTGCATGACTTCATTTACCACAACAGGTATGCTACTGAAGGAGACAACAGGTTACCCAAAATATACACCAAAACTGGGGACAAAGGTTACTTTCCAACATGACTAACTGTAAATATGCATATAGTTTTATTTTACTGAAAGGATATTTAAAAAATCTTGTTCTTTTCATTCTTGCTGTTCCACTCAAAAGGTTTCTCAAGCACATTTACAGGAGAAAGGAGACCAAAAGAAGATACAATCTTTGAAGCCTTGGGAAATACAGATGAACTGTCATCAGCCATAGGGTGAGTATACTAATTCTTAATTGTGTCAATTGTTTTAAAATGTTTCTCATCCTTACGTTGGTTCACTAATCTGCACTATACAGCATGGCCAGAGAATTCTGCCTTGACAAAGGTCACACATTCACATATCAGCTTGACAAGGTTTGATTCTCATCTTTCATTTATTCTATTCACAAGAGATGACATTTTACATACACCAGACTCATGTAACACTCCTTTGTTTCTCGTCTTATTGCAGATACAGTGCGTTTTACAGGATGTTGGCTCCAATATTGCCACTCCTCTATCATCTGCAAGAGAAAGTCACATAAGTATGCACACCTTGGTTTAAAGTTTCAATTTTTAATGCTTTGTATTTAAGCGGTTGATATTATGTGATATTTCCTTCTTTTTTTTAAAGAGAAAACAAAATTTACTGCTCAGCCTATTACAGACCTGGAGACATGGATTGATGACTTTACAAACGAACTTCCTCCACTGACTAACTTTATTTTACCAGTGAGTAATACATTTACCTGTATACATTAATTTGTTTAATACAAATTTTACTTAAATTTTACTCTGACCCTCTGCTTTTGCTGTTCCCCAGTCAGGAGGAAAGAGTAGTGCAGCTTTACACTTAGCTCGTACAATCTGTCGCAGAGCAGAGCGCAGGTCGGTTCGTTAAGTTTGTGGAATTACTCAAATGATAATTGAAGCATCTTTCAGTAAGAATGTTTTTACAACTGGCTATTCTTGTTTCAGTGTTGCTCCAATTGTGCGCTCAGGGGAGGCAGATGCTGATGTTGCCAAGTTTTTGAACAGGTAAGTAAACTTGAGCTATAAACTAATTTTATATTATCTCTAACTTTATATTTGTCTTCACTGTCTACATTTTTACTCAGATTGAGCGACTACCTGTTTACATTGGCCCGATACGCAACAATGAAAGAAAGCAATGAAGAGAAAATCTACAAAAGGCCTGAATGAGGAGGTTCAAGAAGGAAATATTGTAAATGAATATTAAAATAAACAACTTGACATCTGATATCTGACATGACCCTGTATTAATGTGCAAAACATATCTGTTCATTCCTTTTACATCTGTCATTGTTTTATGTTGGTAATAACTTAACCTAAACTAATAACTTTTTTTTTTTTTTTTGGCTTTGTCCCTTTTTTCAGGGGTTGCCACAGCGAATCATTGATTTCCATCTCTCCCTGTTCTCTGTATCTTCTACTCTGACTCCAACTATCTGCATGTCCTCCCTCACTGCATCCATATTTCTCCTCTTTGGTAATAACTTAAATAATGACAATAATTAAAAAAATATTTTTTGGGTTTTTTTTTTGTCTATTTCTCAAACACACTAACAGAGAGTACACTTGTTTGTTTTTCATCCTGGCTCTATTAACCACCTCTAGCACACAGTCACAGGATCTGGCACCAGCCTTGGCTCCTCTGAGAAAGGGTACTGGCCCATGTCATTAGAGACAGATTGCGGTCTTCGTAGGGAGGATAGTGCAGATAGGTTATGCACTCAAACCGTATGCTTCTTAGCAGGCAGGACTTCCTGTGAGAGAAGGTATCAAAGCTGTAGTGTCCATGACAAGAACCCAGTCCACTTGCACCTTTAAAAAAAAAAACATTTTAAGAATGACAGAATGTTGGTAACAAAGACCCCCTCAGCATTACAGTGTATGTCTCAAATAATTGTGATGCTGCAGACTAACCTACTCCACCAAAAGGCAACGCCACCATCAGGCTCTGCAGAACATTGGAGCAAAAGCTTCCACTGGACGTCTCAGTCATAAGTCGTGTTATGACCTGCAATATCAGAAAGAGGTCAGAATACACCCACAAGTATAAGTATTAGTATTTCAACATGTCATGTCAAAAGACATTTACCTCACTGTTGCTGGAGTATGCATACACACACAGAGGTTTCTCTTGCTTATTGATAATAGCAATTGCTTCATCCAGATCATTCACGGACAGAACAGGAAGAACTGGACCAAAAATATCTTGCTGCAGGATGGGGTCTGATTCAGTCACCTCTGTCAAAATAGTTGGGGCTAGGATAGAGGGAGAAAAATGATAAGATATGTGGCTCCCTCTGTTAGCTTAATTTAAATAAAGATTTAATTTACCTATGTATTTCTCTGTTTCTATCACCGGTCCTCCCACAACCACCTTGCCAGATCTCCACAGCATGTCTCTTGTACGATTAAAGACCTCCATGTTGACTATGCGGCCAAAGCTGTGAGACTCCTGGGGATCACAGCCATAGAATCTTGTAATGCAGGTCTTGAGGGCTGGTTACAGAATATTAATGAAGACAAATAGCAGATTCGTTATTTACAAGTACATGTGTTTTATTATAGCTGCTACAATTATTCTTGTAATGAACACCTTATGTAGGTCCTTCCCAAGAGCATCTACAAATTCACAGTCATGTTCCTCCAGCATCAGCAACAAATTCCCTAGCTGAGCCAGCCTAAAGTTTTCTTTCAGGGTATGTCCAGTTTGAAAGGCAACTCTGGCTCTTCTCAGCAAATCCACACAATCCAGTGTGTATATCTTTAAACATGGGCCCTCTAGTCTGGTCCTGGGAACGTAAGAAAATCACTAGTTACTAAAGCCCTACTGCAAAGCTATTAAAAAGATTCTAAATCATTTTCTTATCGCAATTCCACTCGTGTTCGATCCAAATCAAATAATATCCACAGATGTTTGACTTCTACGAATGGAGTCACTGTTTAACTAAGCCTTACACTGACGCATTCTGAATTACTTAAGGTAATTACTTAAGAGTTTTTCCTAACTATAAGATATGCGTGTGTCCTAGACATCACATGTGTACATCGAATGAAAAGAAAAAACGAAAAATGTACATTTTCAGTAAAGTCAGTAGGTATGTACGTATCTTGACTTTGACTCACACTTGAAGCCTACCTCAGAAGTCTGAGATCGATTTTATAATGATTACTGGTGTTCAGTTGAAGAGGAAACTACCATAAAAATATTTATAATTTTTGCAACTATAAACTAAACTCAACCGGAGTATGAATAAAGGATTTGTCCCTCGCTGTGAGAGGACCCTACCTCCGTATGGCTTTAAACCAACGGCCAGGAGAAGGACTGTGTGATCGATTGTTCATGGTACTTCAGCAGCTTCAGGTTTGACTGGAAACCTTTACCACCACTGGGGTCAGTTGAGCTCACAACGAGTCTATGGGAATAATAGAATTAAATAGTGTCACTCAGACTAATCCGATCTGCAAGTTTTTCTTCTGGAGTGAACGTGTTGCGCAGTCGCAGAGATCTACAGTATGTCCTCCCATCACACCAACAGGTGACTCCAATAAACTCATTCAGGGCGAAACGCTTTAAAAAATAAAGCACGGTCTGTGTGTTAAACGAAAGGCTGAAGACGCTAAGTTAAAAGAAATACACGTAGTTTAAATATTTTGGAAAAATTTTATCAAATGTAAATACATTGACCAGAAAAAAAAACTTATATAGCATATAGGGAGCTAATGCAAACGTGTGTGTCATTTAGCACCATCTAGTGGTTATATTGCATGTTGACGTTGAATACTAATTCCCAACCTAGAAATTTACATTTTAAATCATGCTAGAGTACAAAGTGCAATTCATAATCAAAAGTGAAAATTGGTTTTACTGCTGTTGACCACTGAATATCATGATAATCCAACACGATGGCCTCCACATGTGTACATAAGTGATAAAAAATATATATCAAACTAAAGCATATCAAAATCTATCAAACTAAAGCATACTATGCTTTAGTATGTAGTAGTTTAGTATGCATTAAAGTACTGTACAATCTTGCAGGAAGCCAATATAGAAAGGCTAAAGAGTCACACAGGCTCAGGGGCCACAGGTTGCACACCTTGGGATTAAACCATGAGGAAATCATTTACATATGTAAGATTAAAAAAAATTATTGCGTCCAGCTAAAGATGCTTCCAGTGTAAATACTAGTGATACAAAATGCCTAGCTGTGATGTGTCACTTTGTGTTCCTGGTGTAACTTTATAAGAGATGGAGTAAAACCAAAATTACATATACTTAGTAATTAAACATGGGATTAGACAAAGCCCATTACAACCAAATGTGGATTTCTGACAATTTTAGAAAAATGGCTTTACTGCATGTTCTATGTTGAACAATAAAAATGCTAACAGCTAAAGTGAGGTCTCCTGACAAATAGAAAAAGTACCATACTACAGACAATAAAAATTCCAGTAACCTGGAAACCCACGACTGTCAGTTCCCACCATGCTTCAAAAAGATGATGTTCTTGCTTCTAAGGCTTAAAGCACTTACCACACTTCCATTTTGTGTCCAAAACTCCAGTGTTATCGTGTTTTTTGTTGTTGGTTCCCACTTAATAAAACAGTATCATATATAAGAAAGTAACAAGAACATATCATATTCTTTAGTGTGTATTATTTATTGACAGGTTTCTCTTGTTCATAACAGAACACATTTGCATAATAAAGAAAGTCTTTATTCTTTTATTTAGGATAAAACCTTCTATAATGTCTTTTTAAAAGACTCCTTGAGAGTCACATGGATTTTTGGGTTAATGTCTAAAAAAAAACCTTGTCCAATGGAGTTGAACCCTGTGATACGTAGACTTACTACAAGGTCACATTCACCCACAAGCGACAAACAGCTGATGTATGAGTGCAAGATTTCCACCTAAAGGCAGCGTCAAATCAAACAGTCACATCTGGTTAATGAACCAGTTCACGACATCATTAAATGTGAAGCTTTTAAACCTCGGGTATCTTTTCAGCATGGCTTACAACGTCCCCAGAATTGGGAAAGAACGCTGCTTCGAATTTCCCCGTCGTTGATGTTGTTGTTGTAGTGTTTTTTTCTATGGCTTTCTCCAATATATACGTGGTTACTGGAAACAGCTGGGACACAGTCAGTTGTTAGAATGAAGGGGGCGCGACGTTACATGAGGCACTCTGTGTAGTGTAAGAAGTTCATTTTTACAACAAGTACAAAGGATTGATTTTACTCTTCTTTTTTTTTGGAGTGTACGTTAAAAGACATCATGATGAACATTTGCTTTCCTCTGCTCCACCAAAATGGGAGGACCAGTCACGAAAAAGATCCAATATTAGAAGAAATCATTCTGAATTAAACAGCAGGAGCTTTTTGGTGCTGTTCAAGAAATGCAGAAGTGTTTTCATTTGTACACTGTTTAACACTTCTCTGTCCTATGCAGTGTCTCCTAGTGTAGAATTAAATGACATTGTTTCCTTTGAAAATGAGACATTAATTGTCAACACATTTACACATTATTGTTGTGAGCACTTCTTATGCACATATATCGATGACATGAGAATGAGTTGTCTTTGTCCGTATTATAAAAGACACCTTGTGTTCAACTAAACACTTAAAGGACTCGTCCTACCGCAGCAAGTCCAAAGATTTGAGTTTATGACAATACATTGCTTGGTTTTACTTGTGTGAGTCAACCATGTGTAATACCATAATGGCTTGCATTGCATCTGTATTGCTTTCCAGTTCACCTAAAAGGAACCTGTTGGATCCAAAATGATTCTGTTAAGCCTGAGAAACAGATTCAGCCTCTGTGCAACTGTATTTCACCGAGTTGATCACCTTAGATTAGTAATGGCAGAGGGAGACCTTTAAAATCACATTGTGCTGCACAAACAGCATCTAAAGTCAAACTGAGCTCGTTCAGTCCTGGATAGAGAAATGACGACTGTGTGGGTCCTTTGTGACTCCCCTTCAGTCTGTGTGTCGTTCCCTCTGATGTGACAGGTTCGAGTCCTGATAAGCTGGGCCTGAAACTTGGTTCAGGTTGTTAGACACAGGCCTTGGGTGCAAATTGTCCTGATCCAGTTTAGTTAGGACAGTTCGAAGCCTGTATTCATACTGATCGCGTAGCGCAGCTTGTCACGAAGGATGCTTTTTTTGCTGTAGTTGGGCAGCTTCAGCAGGTTGAAGCACGTAGAGGAAGTGGGAAGTCGACCCCCGGGTTCCTTCTTGCGAATAGTAAAAAAGCCTCTCAGAACACTGCCAAGGGTGTCACCAGTGTCCTGGGAACAAAAAATCACTCTGTTAGTACAAACATAATGTAATACAGCTACAACACAAAGCTTTGAACATGTGGGCGACATCACCTGATCGTCTGAAACCTCCACACAGCGGATGGAGAAAGGTGGCTTGAGGTAGGCGAATCCTAGCAGAGGTGGCCTCGAACAGCTGGTAACAAACTGTAAAAAATACGAAATTAGAGGTAGTTGTCCAATAACCTGTTAATGATTGCAACAGGATGTAAATTAAAATCAGCTCACTTTTAGGAACATAGCTCTCTCGTCAGCATTAAAGTCACTGGACAGGATGTCCCACAACCAGATGATGACTCGATGGCTGCTGTGAAATCCTCCATAATAAACTGTGTGTTTTCTGAGAAAAAAAAACAGAAACAACAAACCTAGGCATTTCAAACAGCTTCGTTAAGCGTACAGTAATGACGAAGACACATTTAATTTGCAAATACACCTGACCTTTACAAACTGTGCTGTCCTGTAAATACGTTCATCTAAGAATATTTTATTAAGGTTTATTACCATCTTTTGGAAATGTTCCAGTGCTTAAAGAAATGGCAGTAGACCAGTGGAGGGACATAATTAAACATCAATCTAATTATTGCAAGCCTTGTAATTAATTAGTTTTGATGACTCAGATTGTAATTAATCAGAAAATGTAAATATATTTTTATTGACAATCTACGGAATACATGTGGAAAAAACAAAATTGCAAATTTTGTATAATGTTTTATAATGTAATATAATATATTGAGAGGTGTGGGGGTTTATCTGTCTACTACTTTTAACAAACTCACATTTAAATTACAGCTATAATATTTAACATTTTTTGGCTCCGAACTCCATCATCTGTTCTGCTGTGGACAGGCCGAACCAGGACTGTGGTGTCAGCACAGGTTTTGCAATGATGTAATACCTTAGGCTGAAGTGCTGCAGTCATAAGAAAACTCTTTGTGGCACAACATGCATAAATATATGCATTTATCAAAGCTGGTAACAGAAGGTTTTTACAAAAGAAAAATAAAGCCAAACCCAATTAAGGCAGTCTTGTCTTTCATCACTTTTTACCCAACTTTTTTGTGAAGTAACGACACTAGACGCATTCCGTGCTACTTATATATGTTCACCTATAACAACCAGTAAGGTTGTCCATCCAATTACGTATATGAAAATAAAACCAAAACGTCACATACTTGAGGTCATCAAGATCAATTTCAGCGTTGTCTCCTGAGACCAGACGTTGAACCTCAGGTGTTGAAAACATGTGCAGCCACTCTGGATTAATGATGCAGCGAAAACCTCGGATAAAACCTGCCGTTTGTTCTTTAATCTGTGTGTGCATACGGAAGTGAGCCATGAGGTGGATGTAGCTGATCCTGTAGGAGTTTGGAGAGTGGAGAAAGGTTAGAATAAGGAGAAGAGTGAATGATAATCAGCAAAGAAACAACATTTTCAGCTAAAAAAAACATTTTCCCTCAAATCATTTACAGCATTTACAAACCTGTTCTCATTGGTGACGGCCATTGTTTTCCCACCAGGTATGAGCTCATGACAAACGAGCTGAAATATAAATAAAATGTTTCATGGACAGATTCCTTTTTCATTTTCCACCAGCAATTGATTTTATTGTACTTTGTACTTTAATCATCATTACCTGTCCCATGACATCCTCATCATAGGAGAGTGTCAGTCCTAAATCCCCCACGTCTCCATCATAACGCTGAAAAATCAAATGATTACTCATTCAAGGAAACACTTACAGAACAAAGGGACCTGTGGTTCAGGACAGAGTGTAAAGAAGAAAATAGCAGGATGCGGTAAAGTTAATTCTCTGTTACCTTTATGGATGTGAGGTTTTTGTAAAACTCTGAGTCCAGGGAAGGAAGCTCATCAATGGAGCTGTAGAAGGTGCTGTGATGGTGACCCAAGACCTGACTGAGGAAAAAGGAGGCGAACGGCACATCTACCACAATGCCCTGGAAACACACCAGTTTAAAGGTTAGGCTCAGTTCAAATCATCTGTGATGATGTGATGAATTTGACAGCCATATGTAAGAACAGACGCCACCGTCTGGTCATACGTACCTCATAGACAGCTTTCCCGAGCATCTTCCCCACAAACTCAAATAGCTGTAAGTGGTTCTCATGGATATAAGATGTGGGTGAAGGATACAGCCTTTCATCTCCACTCGTAGTCTACAAAAAACAACATGGTGAGTAAAGCTGTACAATTACAGCCAAGAAAAAATACATATAAAGAATCTGCCTGAATTACCCTGAATAGGTTGAGAGCTGGATTGAACACTTTTTTAATAATCTCCTCCAGAAACTCCTTAAAGACACCATCCTGGTCGATACCAGCCTCGTCTACTCCCAAGTCGTTCACAAACTTCACACGGATGACACCTTTTATGGAATTCACCGGTAAACGACGTAGTTGGTCATATCCATCCTGGGGAATGTATTTGAAGTAGGATTTTTTTTTACAATCAATAAGGTTTTAAACTCACAATTTTTCCTTTATTAAACTCATCTTTACCTCTAACATACGTGAACGACGGATGGTAATATGTGTGACATGAGGTGAAGCTGAGCTGGTTTCAACCAGGCCCAAGTTTTCCTTTTCCTTTGTTACAATGTTCCTAAACAACAGAACCCTCTGAAACACAGATAAAAAACATTTTAACACTGATACATAACTATATGAATACAGACATTTAAAGGACACTACTTAAATAATGCTGCTCACGTTTTTATGTGGAATGACATGGGGGATGTACTGCAACAAAAGTTGAGCTCTTTTTTTCCCTTTCTCTAGCTCTTGGAACAACAGGCTAGGTTTCAGGTCCCTGAATGCAACACCACAAAGATAAAAGATGAGGATTAACCTAAGGAGTTTATTCTGAAGTTTGAGAAATCAGAGCTTTTTCAGAGTCTGTCCTAACTTGCGTAGCCAGTGGTCGTCCGGTGTGAACCGTCGCCTGCAGTCTCGTTCGTAGAGAACCATCAGCCAGCCGTGAACGCTGTGGAACAATTCCAGTTTCTCTCCTTTTGCGTTCTCTATTCAAAACATAAACAGATTTTCAGTGAGAAAAATAACTTTCGAAGATTCACCCTTGTCACAATGGGATAGCCACACCCACCTAGGATGCCATCCCATACCATCTTGTACACAAATGTGTTCAGAAAGGAGGAGATAGTGATGAGTTCTTCTATCTTGAAGGACGTTTGTTCTTCGTACACCTCAATGTCATCGAGAATTCTGTAATGTATTTGCAGGAGGTCAGAGAAATGGAAGCAGTGAACTGTCCAGAGCGTGGCATGAACAAATCAAGGTTAAATTACGTGATGAGATGCCGTGAGCAATCACAAAACAGCATGAGCATGGACAGAAGCTGCTTGGACTCGTCCGTGTCGTTGTTCAGACACTCCATGAAGAGTTTGAGTCCTCCCTGAGGACCAAGCTCACAGATGAAGGCCCACAGTTTTGGCAAAAGGTCATCAAGGTGTGTCAGACCTACAGACATCAACAACAAATGACTGTGTTGTAATGACAGTACTTACATTATTTACATGTTATTGCTTTAGGATCTTCTGACACTGACCTGTGAGAATCTGGAGGCGTATTTGCGTTAGTGTAGACAGAGCGGTCTGGTACAGTACACAGATGCTGCACACCTTCTGGACCTCGGCCGAGTCGACTCGCTTCCCACCTACTGGTTTCAGGATGTTCCTAACTGAAGCGGACTTCTGAAACGCTCGTTTAAAAAGATCTGTCAACACAGAAATATGACAGAATGAAAAGGAATTTAGAGAAACTAAGGTGTTTCATAATTTCATCAGCTTTAGATTAATACTTTTAACAGGCAGGTTGTTCTGTGAGGTGCTGGGCTGTGGAGGTGGAGGAGTAGGTTCTTGACTTTCAAGCTTTTTAGACAGGACATCACTGAAGAGCGTTCGGATGACAGAGACACCCCAAAGGTACTGAAGCTGTTTGGTGACCAGTGGCATTGATTCATTCAGACTACAAGGAAAAAAACAGAGGAAGCTTCAGTCAACTGTAAAGTAACTTTCGCTTTAAATGAAAAACTCAAATTTACTTTTATTTAGCAAATAAATGAAGTTCAGTGAATAGTATTTCTGTTACCCACCCGTAGTCTACATTTTGGGAGATGCAGCCGAGCACAGGATGCCAGTGTGTGAGGTTGGATTTCTTCTGGGACACATATCTCTGGCAGTATGACAACATGACAGTCAGGTCCTTCACAAAATGATGGGCCTCCTCTTCCAGAACCTTCTCATTTATGTAACCCAAGTGAATCAGATTACCTAAAAAATATGAATAAGATACGAGTCATGAGCCTAAACATGGCAGTTCTCGTGCAACACGAGGGCCGTCTCGTCTGCACGACTTGATTAGATCAAAGAACTTTGGTCCATTAACCAAACTTTAAAACACTGTACCAAGTAAGCAGAGTGTGTGGCTCCCCTCCAGACATACACAGATGTCTGAACACTGTTCTTCCTGACTGAGAAACAAAATGAACTTCCTCAGGAGGTCATGGGTCTGGATTGTTGTCATGCTCTGTTGTCAAAAAGCAGATATTAACACCTCCTTCCTAACAGTTGTTACAGATGCATACAGGACATGTGCCAGGGCTTTACCTCTGGTGCTAGCATAGTGAGGTGGGATATGAGAGCGGGAACTGACATGATGTGCACAAGAAATGATCTCAGGAGGTTGTCAGAGAAGTGAGCAGCAATGACCGGCCTAAAAAACAGAAAATGCCTGCAGTTAAACAGGAAAATATATTTTTGGAATAACATTCAAAATAGTAAATCAGCAGCTGCCAGCTAACCTTAATGACAGGGTGAAAACTGCTGTGAGACTGCCTTTGGACAGGGAGGGCTTAGAGCGAGCCAAGCCATTGGTCAACAAGATCTGTAAAGAAGAAGTGTATTATTATAAGGAGGGTAAGACAATAAGAAACTCTTTTAAGTGCAAACTTATTTTTGGAAAATATGTTATAAAATAACTAACAATGTTATTTGTCACTTGAACCGGGAGGCGACTGGTATTTAAGATAAACACAATTTTAACACTAGATGTTGTGTACAGTTTTTTTAATTTTTCAAAAAGGGGCTTTTATACTGAACCTGAAGCATGGAATAAAATCCTTTTTGATTGAGATGGCCCATGATGTTTTCACAGATCTTTATTAAAGCAGGTCGGAAAGCTTCTCCTAAGGAATAACAGTAATGAATAATAATAATTATTATAATTGACATGATGTAATAATACTAATAATGAATTATTATTATTATTTGTCTAATACTGTAGTAACACAAATTCTCAATGCAGGTGAGTCTGATTTGTCCTACTGCAAATGATGAATACAATTTTTTTTTTTGATGAAGCACAGCAGTTGATGCAGAGAAGGTTACAATCTCAGGGAACTGTGTATAAAGGCTTATAAACATTGTAACCTACCCTTTCCACGCACTATCCTCCAGGTTGACGTGTCTGTGAATGTTACCAGCATGGTGAGGTACAGTGTAACCAATTTATTGTCCTGAAGTATGTCAGGCTGCGAATAAAAATGCTTAGATTTATACAATGTACCATTCATAATATGAACATTAAAATAAAAATCATTTTACAAATACAGACTAACCTTTAGGTTTTTCAATAACTGACAGCAGGTCCACAGGACATCTTTAATCTGTTTGAGCCAGGGTATAGTAAGATCTTTGGAAAGGGCCAATGACACATACCAGACCTGAGGGCCACATGAGAAAGTGGTCATAAAACAAACATTAAATGTGAGAAAGCTGAAAAGATGGATAATAGGGTTAAACGCACTTTAGGTTCATTTTCAACCTCCATGCTGGCCAGAATAGCACGACAGAGCTTTTCAAACCTCTGTATAGTGGACAAAGGTAAGGATTAAACATAGCAAAAGATATAATGCATGATAATTAATTATCAGTTGTGTAATTATTATAACTGCCATGTCAAATGTAATAACAGATTAAACTAAGCTTGAATCTCACCATCTTGTCCTCTTGACAAAATATAAACATCAACTTCTGAGCAATTTTGAAAATTGAAAGTGCATTTCTTTTTGATGTGCCTGGTTCAGAGGCTTGGAAATAGTCATCAACTTCTTTCCTGGAGAAACACAGAAAAAAAGAAAAGAAATGGACAATGTTTAAGTAACTGTGGATTACTATTATTATGAGTTCATTAATTAACTAAATATATTCATAAGTTGATAAATGCAAACACCGTCTCTTTCTTGTCAACAAATGTGTCAAAGTGTACGTTTTGTATAAGAACTGTTTTAGGGAAAACATAAATATCACATACCACAACAATCTCTTTTTTACATTAAACAAAATGCAAGCAAAAGCTTCAAATAGCAGAGAAGAGACAGGTTTCAGAATCAGGCAACAGCAAACAACATTGTATGATGATTAGCATAATAATAATAGTGAATAATTAAATACCTAATTTGCTTCTGCAGTCTGCATCGACAGAGGAATCTCCTAACCAGAGCTTGGATCTGGGTTGCTGCTCTCTCCTTCTCCTTCTGACCTTTCCTCTCCTCCCTGGCCTGCCTTGCTTTGTCCAGGAACTCGGACTTGGAACTTTTAGGTACACCAAACATTGTGCACCTTGATAGAAAAACATTTCACTGTGATCAACTTTGTTCCTTTGCATCAGAAGTGTGAATAACGCTCGTGCAGCTATACTCTGACAGTGATAAATGAAAACCGCCCATCTTTGCAGTGTTCAAACTGATCATAACAGTGTCGTTACCTGGAATATTGCCTGAACTGAAGACTGACTGTGCCCTTAAGGCTGACTAGGTGCTATTCCACCTCAATCATGGGTTTATTCTGGAAATCCTGGCAGGAAAAATCCAGCTTAAATGCGGAGGCTAATATGGCATTTTTGGAGCAACTAGGCGACACAGTAAAGATGGAGCTGGGTTAGTTTGTTAGCACACAGGGCTAGTCGTCGCTTCACTCCTCGATTTTACCTCTGAGGGTATGTTTACTCTTAACCTAAATATATATAATCGATAAAGGGTTAGAGTCGATTCCGCGTTACTGACAACCTCAAAAACCCAGGGAACATACCGAATTGAAATGTAAACAATGAGAGGTGATCCGTACATGGACTGCAGTCCTAAACCCAGCCTGTGTCACATCAAATGGTTCCGGGTAGTGTTTTAGTATAGAGGAAATTAGTGAGATCGATACGGCATTTAAAGGTCCAGAATATCTGAACGCAATTTTATTGATATTGTGACAAGAGGAATTTAATGACCTCATCTTTTAAGTTGCGCCTCACAGGCAAATTATATTTTCCCTTATTGATATAATTGTTACTCCGTCAGTGAAAGTACGCTATGAAACAAAAAATATTAAACTGATTTTAAACATTATTATTATTGAATAACGTGGCATGGGTTCACTGAAATCAGTAGGATGGACAAGTTCTTACTCCAATCAAAATGCCCTCGAACGTTGGCGGAATAAATGTGAAATGTTCCTTTAAGTGGATCACAGGAAAGTTGACGTAATTTTGGAAGTGACAGGAAGGAAGTGGGTGTTAGCTGACTGACGTTAGCAATTTATACTCACCTAGTCTGCTGCGGCTTCTATGGTAAATTATTAGACGTTTACAGTTTTTGTCGCTACGGCCTGTTTTCTAATATCGTAGATATCTTTAGTAACTGCTATCCAGTTAGCCTGCTCGTTAGCCGTGTTAGCATCTGTGTTATAAAGCTTCGATCAAACTACAAACTAGGTCTAGAAACGTCTGTTAGTTTCTCAATTCGAAAAAGGTTTCGTGTTGTTGTTTATATAAATTAATATATACAGTGTTTACTATCATGTAGTTACGAAGTTTTACGCTAGAGCAGGATTTTTGTGGTACTAACAAAGTAATTCTTGAAGCAATACTAGTAATTATCAATGATAACATGAGTTTTTACAATCGGTCGGCCGTTTAGTTCACAAATTGCAAAAAAAAATGTGTCGTCGAGGAACTGGGAAACCGGAAAATTAACCTGTTCAAAGAATTGAGTTCACACAAAAGGTTCATAATTCTTTGAACATTTTCAAATTAAGGAGGACAAGATTTGTCCTCTCTTGTAGTCGTACTAGGCGAGATTAGGCATAACTATGTCCATTGAGCTTAATACCTTGTCCTTTTTTGCCATATAGTAGGATTAGGTTTTTAAATCCCGATTTCTAACCTTGGTGATTCATAGAGAGGGTTGCGCCATGAAGTGCATCCGGAGTAAAAACTGAGCAAGGACAGAGCAACAGGGGTTTTCTTCTGCACTTTTTTTTTATGGTCTGTATTGTCATTGTACCACTGGGATACGACGAAACTAAGCCTCTGCTTTTAACCCATAACCACCTCAGTGGTGACTTGCCAGCTAGTGGAAAGAAGCTTGTTTAAGTGTTACAAAAAGTGATAAAATGATAATAAAATGATAATTTGCCTGAGATATTACTATTGAAGTAGTTTAGACTTGATTTTGGTCAATTTTTGTATATAATATTATATAATTGTGACATAATATATAATTTCAATGTGCTTAGGTTTAGTTGTTCTTCTATAAAAACTTAAAGGAAGTTGTTTTTCATCCAGCATTTTACCATTCAGACTATGACCTCAGTAATAGTGTTTGCCTCCATAACTGATAATGAAAATGTAAGCTGTGATGCTGCTGGCTCTTGGTCCAGCTGTTTATGTCTGCTTTAAAATCATTCAAATGAATGTAAAACTTCATTACTTTAACATAAAACTAGGTTAATTAGCTCATACCATGTTCATTCCCTTGTCTTTTCAGGAAGAGATGTCAGGAGAGAGTGTGGTGAGCTCGGCAGTGCCAGCAGCTACAACAAGGACTACATCCTTCAAGGGCTCCAGCCCCAGCTCTAAATATGTGAAACTAAATGTTGGCGGGGCTCTGTACTACACTACAATGCAGACACTGACTAAACAAGACACAATGCTCAAAGCCATGTTCAGTGGCAGGATGGAAGTCCTGACAGACAGTGAAGGTGAAGAAAGTGATTGAGTGTTTCACTATTGTCCCACCGCTAGGTTTGACCTGTTAAAAATTAAAATCCCATCCTTTAATACTCACAGGTTGGATCTTAATTGATCGCTGTGGGAAACATTTTGGAACAATCCTAAACTACCTTAGAGACGGCGCAGTTCCACTTCCAGACAGCAGACGAGAAACTGAGGAACTGCTCGCAGAGGCCAAGTATTACCTTGTCCAAGGCTTAGCCGATGAATGCAGTGCTGCCCTTCAGGTACTGTCAAAATAAAACACCTATATTTTACTCCTATTATTTTTTTTATTATTATTTAAAAATCCTTATCCTGTATACTGTAAAATAAAAAATCCAAAAAAAGACGCAAATATTTGCAAAGTCCAGATCTGTAACAACAATATGAAAGCCATTACGTTTATTTTCACTGTTGTCATCAATAGCATTCATGAAATGTTTTACAACTTTGTTGTTGTATTTTGCACAGAACAAGGAAACATATGAGCCTATGTGTAAAGTCCCTTTGATGACATCATCCAAGGAGGAGCAAAGGCTAATTGCAACATCAAATAAGGTATGTTCTAATTATTGTCATTATTACAGCTTTTAATCTAGTGTTAATTAATACATATTTCACTCAGAAACTATATATACAACTATGCATAAACTATATATATATATATATATATATATATATATATACACATACATACACACACACACACAACATATATTTTGTTTTTGCAGCCTACGGTGAAGCTGCTGTATAACAGAAGCAACAACAAGTATTCATATACCAGGTAAGAGCTTCACTACACTCAGAACAACAGAACTAAGTTTGATAGCAACATGATGTGAAATTCCTCCTGTGTATTTTCCTTATATTGTCTTGTACACTCCTCCCATACATTTATACAACAGCAATTCAGACGACAACATGCTGAAAAACATTGAGCTGTTCGACAAGCTGTCGCTGCGGTTCAACGGCCGCGTTCTCTTCATTAAAGACGTGATTGGAGATGAGATCTGTTGTTGGTCGTTCTACGGCCAGGGTCGTAAGATTGCTGAAGTTTGTTGCACCTCAATTGTTTACGCTACAGAAAAGAAGCAAACGAAGGTGAAGAAATTTAATTGTTTTTAATTTAAGCCCTGGAGACTTTGTCGCTTTATGTAAGATGTTTGGATGTTGCCTTTGAGACACTTATCTAACTCTACTTCTGTCTTAGGTTGAGTTCCCTGAGGCACGCATCTATGAGGAGACTCTCAACATCCTCCTGTATGAGTCTCACGATGGCAGAGGTCCAGACAATGCACTGCTGGAGGCCACAGGGGGAGCTGCGGGACGATCTAGTCATCTAGATGAGGACGAGGAGCGAGAACGAATTGAACGAGTTCGTAGGATTCATATCAAGCGACCTGATGACCGCACACACCATCACCAGTGACCCTCCTGGATCAACCTGTGTTTTTGACCCATTTTCTTTTTCACCACGCTTGTGCCTTACATCACCTAGCGCCTCTTTTTGATCACTTCTCTCCCCCTCTTTATTTTGACCAGCACTCTTAAAAAGACTTCTAGGAGAAGCCATGCAACAGTGTGTAGTGCTGATGTGCAGGTTTTTGTTGTGTGATGTGGCAGGCTGTGGTGGTTGAGTCACAGTCACTCCTATCACCGTTCTCTAATGGTGTGCTGAAGCTCATGTACATGGATTTGTGCAGTTGTTTGTTCCAGTTCCAATATCAATAGATCATGTGAAAACTACACTTTTGCAGATACCCAACACTGATATTTTTACAATGACATGGTGCCCCCTGCCTCTGTAAGACAATCAGGAACCGAAATTAACACACCGCCTATAACTGTTGTTTAGAAATTATCCTTCTTATAAACATGACCAAACAGAACATATTCTGAAATACTATGGATAGTCTTCTTATTCTGCCACAATTTGTAGAGGAAGAGTAAGAGCAGTTTCATGGTTTAGGGATTTAACCTGTGTCCTCTGTGTTTCTGATCGGATTTGAACTTAAATCTCTAAACGTAATTTTTGACACCGTTTCAAATTAACTGCTTCAGGCACGGACACACATGCAGTGCAACTGTACATGTAGATACACTTAGATATAAAAAAAAAGGTAATAAAGGTTAACACTATATGTTTATCAACACCAGTCCATTTTAAGTTAAGCAAAGCAGAACGTAGGAATGGTATTGCGTTAGCAGCTAACAAATTCACAAGATGTTGCTAAAAACCTTCAGTATACCTTTCTTATCCCTGATAGATACACAGTGGCCATCAATGGATGAATCTTAATGCTGTAAACAATGAAGCCACTTGGTGGCAGTGTTTTACTCTTAGGTGTTGTCAGAGCTGTGTGGCCTGATGACCAACATTAAATACTAACACATTAACATTAAAAATCGATGGATTTTAGTTTAGTGCTTCTGTTATATTTACATTTAATGTTCATATATTCTCACACCTAATTAAAATGATTTTGACTTGGAGCGTAGGTACCGTGAACTTGTGATGTGAGTAGTTGAATATACTGTGGTGGTTAAATGATGGATGCTGAGGTTGAAGTGAACAACTGTAACCAGAGATCTGCCCTGGGGCAGGAAGGGAATCCTGTCAACAAGCTTTTACACAGAAAGAGAAATTAGAAACTCGCCTTCGTCACTGCGTTCATCAACACAACGTACTGTTAGCACACTGGAGCTTAAAGTTCAAAATTTGCAACAGTCAATGTTGGTTTGTTGCACACAAGTGACCACATGTACGTTTTATATTTATAACTACTTTATCACAAATACATTTCTACATAAAGCTCTGTGTGTTTGAGTTTATTCCCTTTTTTCCCATCTGTTGAAAAGTTAGAAATTTATGTATGATACATAAATATTTATTGCTCATACTTAAATTATTTTATCAATGAGAGATGAGTGTGGTTTTACTCTCAGGCGTGGCGCTAAACAAACAAAAACTAAATGCACAATTAAGTGCTGAAACAGTAGTTTAATATTTTTCTTGTAAAAGTCCATGTTCATTGAGACTACTGCATGAAAAACGTCAGTGTCCAGAGTAAAAGTCCATTCTGGTTTGTTAAGGTGCTGTTCGGGTGTCCTGATCTACAGGGATCTCCTCATGAAATATGCAGAGGTTTCTTGGGTGTCTCCTCTGACCCTACATCACCGTGTACGGGCACGCGTGGCTACCTGCAATTTCAAAAAGGAAAGCCCCTTTTGAGCAGGTTCATGTCAGATCAGAGTCTCCTGTACCTTTAGGAGCATGCAGAACATGAATTCTTCATAATAACAAGAGTCAACTTGCCACCATGAGGTGTCCATTCTTGGCCTTGTACACCATAGGTTCCTGCCCTGTGGTGAAGTCGATAGCACTCTCTTTGCCTGGATGGGGTTCCATCTTGATTCTAAAAATTGATGTGAACATGGTAAAAACCCTTCATGAGCACATACTGAGTTCAGTTCTTACACTTAATGGACTTTCTGTAGCACCATATGAAAGTGAAAACTGAAGAGGAGCAAGAGTCAGCAGGAGTGAGAACATCACGAGTCAAGACACATTTATTGATGTTATGTTTGCACATCAAATGTCTGACAGTGACTCTGGGTGTTCAAAGTATGGCACAACAGCAAATACAGCAACAGGAGGTTAAAGAAGGTTAAAAAAGCTGAACTCAGAGGTCAAACTGGCTGAAGATGAAGTTAGAGAGGGAAGAATACTGAAAGACCCCAGAGATTGTCCATTAAAACTGGTGATAAAGGACATGAAGATGGTTGGTGCAACAGTAGGAGGCAGCAGACGACGTCATGTCTGTCTTCCAGACTTACGTGCCCTGAACCACTTTGATTGCATTTTGCTTGTTTGCAACGACACTCAGTTTGGTGAGAAACTCATACAAGTGGTCACACTGGAGCAAGAGGTCCCCCTGGAACAGATTTAAACAAGATGACAGAGGTAAAGGGAAAGCCTTTATTTATTTTATCATTTGAATTCAGGTTAATTCATGATACAAGAGCAGTACCTTCTGTTTAGGATCCTCACATGTTATGTGGAATACAATCATGTCATCAGTCAAATTACTGACTGAAATCCCTGCAGGAGGCCACAAAAGATAACATGTGAAACTCTAAATGATCAACACTCAGACCTATGACATGTGGACAGCAGTGTTCATGATCCTAGAAGCAGCAATGATTGTCATGTTTCACCGTAACAGTGTCTAATGAACTAATATAAATTAAATATGCACAGCTGTCTGTAGTCAGTATTTTAGTACCAGCCCAGGTAATGAACCAGTCACTTACAAAACGTTTTTAAAAACCTTTTATTTTATCTTGAAATTGCTGTTTCCCTTAATAGTATTTTAAATTATGATTTTTTTTCTGAAATGTTTTTTTTTCTGAAATTTTGCTCTTTTGTATAGACTCACTACTTTGTTATTAACTAATATGAGGAAACTGAACAAAGACGGATAAAAGCATCAGCAGGATTAATTTAATCATAGAGGTATAGAGCTACATGCATTTAATCAGTACTCCCAGAGTAGTAGCTCCCAAGAAAAAAGTGTGGACATCCCTGGTTTACAACATTTTCACCTGCAGCAGCATTTAACCACAACGCTTCATCATTCTACACCATCATCATATCATCTGTCATATCATCACACTCTGCTGACCTTTGAGAAAGGTGTAGAGTACTCTCTGTGTGATCCTGGCCTCATCGATCACATAGGCAGCTGTCTCAGTGAGGACCAGCTGCCTTGGCTTTGGTTTGAAACCACTCCTGTTGTACTTGATGACTGACACACTGTACTGCAGAGATAGAAGACATTGACAGTGATTTCTGGTCAACAAGAGGCTGAATTAATCTCTGACTGTTTCATACCTTGATGCGCTCGTTGCGAATTATCTGCAGAACCCGCATGTTTATATCCTGTTCACCTGGAGTAATGACACCACAGTAAAGCTGCTGGTAATATTGTTTTTAAAGTGTGTTGTGTTTGGACCTTGACACGTACTGATCCTGGTGTCTATGAAAGGCTGCGCGACGCTCTGTGGGTAACTCTCCTTTTTTCCCTTGAAGATGGAGCTAGTTACAAATTTTAGTTGCAACTAAAAAAAACAAAAGTCATATATGGAATTCATGAAATATCATTTGACAATTCAGTTTTCTACAACACGCCTGATTTTGCTACCTGTGCTTTTCTCTGAGGTGTAATCCCTCTCACATATTTCCGTACCATAACACGGTAGCAAAGTTTTCGCAGGATCTCTGATGCCTGATAAGAAGAGAGACTGAAAGGTCAAAATATCTACTTTTATCTGTTTAGCTGAGGTGTTTATATATAAATCTATCTTTTACTGTACTGTACCTCCTTGGCAACAGGTGGTGGTGCATACCAGGTGGTTTTATCCAAAACACTTTTTGGCAGATTTTCTTTAAGTCGGTTTAGGAAGTGTTGTCTCACGAAGGCCAGATACTCAGAGTTGTCTGTGCTTTTGGCCTCCCCTCGGGTCAAGTAACCTTTTATAAATCTAAAACAGGTTGTCAGATGTTGAACTAAATGAAATTGTTTTTAGAAAGTGCAGCGAAGAGAATTGTCAAACTTTCTCTATTACTGTTTAATGACTTTGACGGCCCAGGCTCTCTTCTCTCTCTCCTTCCTGGCCTGGACTCCTCTCCAGCAGGTTTCAATCTTTGTGGCTTGGAGGAGTTAAGAGAAATGGACAGAGTGTTTGTGATGTTTTTTTAAGATGCACAAACAGAAGTATATGTAAACAGAAGTGAATAAAATGTCCTTGTTTACATCTATAAACAAGCGACATTGCTCAAGTCAAGGCGGTCTGACTTTATTGGCAAGGATGAATGGAGACAGGTGCAAACAAAACCAAGGGAGCAATAGCTCCTCAAACAGTAAATGACATACAACTACACTGCATGTTGTAAGTTATATTTTGTGCAAGAAATATAAATTAAAAAGCTGGAACTATGGATAAATATGTCCATACAATAATCAGGATGCTTAAAAAATTGGTCACAAAGTAAGGAATTGCAATTACACGTGATATACATATACATGATTTGCAATAAGGACAAAAAAGTGGTCACCTGCAGTACTGGGCCAACGGGGGGCTCTAGAGCAGCTGAAAACTGAATACTATTTTAAACCTGGCTAGAAGTATATATATATATAGCTAGTCTTTTTTTTAATCCATAAAAATTGGTATTAAATTGTCACCCAGGCTGATGACTGCTGCAACCAGTTTGATCCAGTTCTATGTGTTGTGTATAGTGACACTCACCAGCTTCTTTCTGTTTTTTGAATTCTCCCTTTGCCTTGTATCCTTTGTATTTGGCCTGGAGTCTTGTTGCTGTTAATTCAGGGTATGTCAATTCATGTTATCATGGTGCAGGCAGTGATAAATGATAAAGTTTTCATCCATAATATTCACTCACCAAGTTCATGCTTACACCTCTCATAGGCGTCCTCTGTGGCGTACAGTGTCCTTGGATAACGGATGAATATTTTGGTACTGTATCAGAGATGGAAAAATTAGGCTTTTGATCCTTCTTGACACAAATTCAAATTTCTACATTGCATTTACTAGAATGCTGTCCTCACCGTCCCATTTTGTATTCGTTTGGCAGGTAGCCCAGATGTTGAACCAACACTTCTACTCCATCAGCGGGCAGGCCTCTCCAGTGAGGCCAGGTTGCTGGGCACAGGGGTTTATATCTAGTAAAAACAGGAAAATAATCTGAATTTGTTGACAGTTATTGATAAAAATGTCTTTATCTAATTTCCCCCCAAACCTTTTTAGGAAGACATCATATTTGCGTCGGTAAGCAAATCCTGCCCTCCTGACTCTGAGGTGCTCCATGAGACCCAGGTACTTCACCTGGTGCCTGATCAGAGCTTCGTCAAATAAACCTGTGAGAGATGCAAGGACTGAATTTAAAATAAAAACAAACCCCGGAATCAAATCAAACTCTGAAGAACATCCATTTATTATATTATATTATATTATATTATATTATATTATATTATATTATATTATATTATATTATATTATATTATATTATATTGTATTATATTATATTATATTATATTACCTGTCTGCTTGGATTCATTAGACTTGAGACAGCGTATGTACCAGGCCTCTTTAGCCATGAGGATCTCTGTCAGCTTCAGCAGGCTGCTCTTAAACTGGGTCGCCACCTACAGACACAACATGAGACCCATAATCCCCAACAGTTCAACTGTCAGACCCACATGGCCTTAATGACAACACAGTCACACTGCCACTGACTTGTCTTTGTCTCAGTGGTCACTCCAGATAATAAAGGGACCACGGACTAATCTGCTGTTTCTCATTAATAATGAATGACACATGTCCCACAGTAGTCTTTAGCTCAGGGCAAACATGAGTGGCTTTAACTCTATGGATCAGTTGTTTTGAAAAGAAAATCAAGAAATCATTGCAAAGAAAAAAATCTTGTTGAAAAAAAATGTTTTACTTAAATGTAATAATAATAATATAATATAATAATAAAAAAAACTAATAAGTAATGGTTTGCTCACTTTTTACAATGAATTATATAAGGCTGTTTCCATTGTTTATATTTTGTATTAATACAAAAGTAAAAGAGGTTAGTTTGGTAGGTTTTTATGATGGTGTTTTAAGGAGATTTAATATTATTATTATTAAGTGGTATGCAGGTGTTTAATTATCTCAATAACGTAACTGTTTTAATACAGAAAAACCCAACCTTTGGTAAATATAGCTGCCTCCATACACCTATTCCAGTTACTGCAATAGTAAATCACATTTACTTATTTATTTAAATTCAGGGTAAATCCAATTTGTATTTTCATCAGGTCAAAGAGGTCCACATGTGAAAATTATAGTCTTAGTATTTACACTGATCTGGATGATTGAACATAAAATCATCGTAACATTTGTTATGGGGCTGAAGGTCGAATATAAACAAAGTCTGCACTCACTGTTTCTGGTCTCCGTCTGTTGTCTGGGTCTAAGGTGGAGAAACACTCGCGGACTATGGCATTTTTAGATTGACACATCAGCTGTGACAGAGCGTTAAGATCACACGCAAAAACAACAGCACATGTTAATCTAAATCAAATTAATGTTCCAGGTTGTAAATCATTTCTGCTAATTTTTCAACAACTTTAAACTCACATCTTTTATGTTTCTGTACAACAGGTCATTGTTTTTATCCAGAAAACCTAGAACAGCAGTGTAGGAGAGAAAATTAAAAGTTATAGTGTTGCAGATGACAACTCAACAATCTACATGTCTGAGTGTCTGAGATCGGGATTCGTTTTACCCACAACACAGTAGGTGACCTCTCCGGCATAATGAAGGAGACGGAAATCTCCCCTCTCCAGAGTCTTACGTGTCGTTTTGTCGGCCAGTTTGTGTCTATGAGAGACAAAGGGATGAAAAGTGAGAGGCAAACAAATCCTAATCCTCCGTCTTTGTCGTCTCGATGTCGCCTCACTCACGACATAGCAGTCAGCAGTGGCATTTAGACGGGGTTTGTATTTAATTTAAACAGCCAGGTGATGATCGAATGTGAATTTGATAGCAAAGACACCAGTGCCATCATCTTGATTGGAGTTACTTGTGCTCTCAGATTGTTGGTGGTACAAATCAACTCACGTGACAAAGTGTGGATGATTTCCCATCTTGTCCTCCAGTCTCTCGAGGAAGGTCAGATCGGTGGCATCTCCTGGTCTCAGACACTCTTCGTCCTACAAGAGTTTTGTTTATCAAACCATAGTATGAATAGCCTCTTTAATCCTTATTTATATGTTTAACATCAGCTAACCCATCACTCACAAGTATGGAAATGATTCCTCTGTGTTTCTCCTCGACCAGGTCACAGATGATCTTATTGTTAAAGAACTGCACAGGTTCCCACTTGGAGAAATTTTTAACACAGATTGAGAAACATTTTAATGCAAATTAATATATCTGTATATATAAAAACATTTATGTATCAATATATATATGTGTGTGTGTGTGTATTTTTTTCCACCAGTTTACCTCAATACCCTCTGCCTCATATTCTTCCTGCTCAGACTTCAGTGTCAGTTGGATAAACAGCTGTTGCAACTTCTCATTACAGTAGTTGATGCAGAACTGCTCAAAACTAAAATGAAATCAGAAATAAATAGCCAAGAAAGAAAATGATCAGATTTATAGTATCTAGAATAACATTCTAGTTGAATTAAGAGCACACTTGAAGTAATAAAAACAGACATTATCAAACGTAACACTAGAATAATTTGATATCAAATTAATGAATGTAGAAATGAGTATTTTTACATTTGTTTGACAGCTTTTCTTCAGAAAGAGCACCATGTTAAAGTTGAGCTAAAAGTTGTAAAACTGTCGGTTTTATTAAAGAAAAAACCAGCACACCTGTTCACATAGAACACTTCGAAGCCGTAGATGTCCAGAAGTCCAATCACAGTCTTTCTAGAAGAGTCCTTTTAAATAAAATAAAAGATAAAACTTCATTAAATACAAATATAATAATACAAACTCTATAACATTATTGGATACTCACCTTGTTCTCCATGGACTCATTGATCCTGCTGACCAGCCAGGTAAAGGTCTGTCCATAAATGGCTTTAGCCAGAGCATCTCTCACATAAATGGCATGATCCAATGTGAATGGGCTGAGAATCTTTACAGAAAGATTAAAAAAATAAAAAATGTATTTTTTGTTTTAAAATCAATGACAAAGTATGAATGTGATGATTTGGACACCTTATCAGCTTTGGCTTCAATCTTCCTGTATGTTAGTCCTTCTTGGAGAATATGAGCATCAACATCCAACAGCTGCACAAAAAATGTGAAAGATTAATGTGAAACATTTTGCTATCGTGTAAAAAGGAATAGCCAGGCTTCCTAATTCCTTACATTTGAGACCCAGCGCAGTGATGCATTGTTGTTCATTAGCGCGTTGCCTTTAATGTCCGCATCAAAACGAATGTTCCCCAGGTGGAGAACGCTGGCAACAATCTCAAACAAGTACTGGGAAGGTAACATATTTTCAACATCACGCAACACATCATGAATATTGTGAGCAACTGCGTCAGACTTACATTAATGTTGGTGTCATCAATGTTGATGATTTGAAGGGCATTTTTGACTGTTTTCCATTCATTGTTGTCATTGATGGAGGATACAATGGCACATTCTCCCTGTCAAAGAGGGGGAAAGACTGTATGACCACTAACTGTACCACTGTTTTAGTGAACTCACAGTACATTTATACCTGGGTCAGATAGTTGTATTGATGGCAGTCTCTCTCCAGACCCAGTTTGTGAAGCAGGTCCTCTGCACCTCCTTGCACTAACTGATAGAAAATGTGGAAGTTTCTTTCCCCATGGTTCTGATGCACCACCCTTGACTTTTCAAGTAGATAGTTCAGAATATGGCCTCCGACAGCCTCTCCCTATAGGAACCATAATTAGTTCAACCACAGCCTGTTTATTAGTACCCTATGGTACAATCACCCTATCTTCTGCCTTTGCCCTCTGGTCCACTCTAGACATATCATTACTCATCTCACAGTTCTTGTATATGTTCTGCACCACACTCATGTACTTTTTCAGCACTTTTTACCATTTCATAATGTGTTTTTTTTTAAATAAAACAATTAAGCACAGAGATAAAAAATAAGATAATATATACCACAAAAATTCCCGTGGATGAAAAAAATCAAGCGAGAACCTAAACTGTTTCTCCTGATAACATCCAACTAGTTCCTGCTAATTCTTACTTGCCAATTCCGGCCTTACCTCACTGTCAAACTGAATATCCATATATTTCCCGAACCGACTTGAATTGTCATTTTTTAGAGTTTTGGCATTTCCAAAAGCCTGCACAAAAATAAAATATGATACAGAGTATTCGTTAGTGCACCTCATGTTTTGGTATGCCGTCAACATAATACAGTAAAAAGTATAAATACCTCAAGAACTGGATTGGACATGAGCATTTTGTCCCGTACAGTGTTGAGCAGAGCAGTGCTCGGACAGCTGACGGCATAATACTGCAGAATCTTCTTAGAGGCCTCCGTTTTTCCAGCTCCACTCTCACCAGAGATAAGGATGAAGTGATTGTTGTATTCTGTCAACATGGTGTGGTAGGCATTGTCTGCCAGGGCGTAGCTGCGGGATGCAGAGAAGGCAGATTTGTATTCTTTAGGCTTGGTGAAGTGGGTAAGAAGCAGACCTGACACTCCACTACAGACATGTATGGTCAACTCACATGTGTGGTGGAAGCTCAAAAAAGTTGACACCCATGTAGAGCTCCATTTGAGTCTTATTGTAAATGTCCAGCTCTTTATAGGGATTGACAGACACCAACAAAGTGCCAATGTATGTCTGAAAAATGTTAAAAATGATCACTGATAAAAAGAAAATGTCTACACAGGTGACAGTGGGTTTTTTTATGCTCTTGTTTTTGATTCTCACATATATGAGATCATTACTGAAGCGCTTCTTCAGGTTGCTTAGCACGGCCTCTTCTGTGGTTTCGTCCAGAAGCACAAAATCCTGGATTCCAACCCGGTCCCTGGCAGTGAGTGCACCTTCCATATCTAGCTGAACCTGGGTGACAAAAAATTCAACCATGACTGAGCTAAATGCAAAAACTGGGAGCAGAAAAAATGTTGTTGTTTTTTAATCAGCCATGCAGCTGGGTAAGCAGAGAAAGGAGGTATTTAGTAAAAATTATATTTATATTATATGAAAAGCTGTACCAATAGATCAACAGTTTTGTAATATTGTACCAAAAACTACAATTTTTAAACCATTGTCCATAAATAGAAAACCAGTTGATAGATATTATATACTGTGTTTATAGGCATTATAAATGAGAGATATTACACATTTATAAATGATCTTTTTTATACATTGAAAGTTTCTTTACAGTTAGCGAATATTGCACACTATGTTGTGAAGAACATTTGCATGTTAAACTTAGAAATTAAGTATATTGCAGGTTTCCTGCTCTACAAGTACAGAACAGTACTGCATTGAAATGTTTCGTTTTTTTTCTTTACATTTAAAATATATTTTGTTATGTTATGTAAGTACATAATTAAGGTAATTAACCTTGTTCCAGTTTATTTATTAGTAATCTAAACAAATAATTCAAGTTAACTCTCAAAGTGCTTCATATATTAAAAAGCATAACATTTATATTCACCTCTTTATGTGTTTTGTTTTAGCCAATGTATTGTATGAATTACTGTTTGAATACATGACCCAGTATGGGAGGAGGGCTCAGAGAAAATGGCCAGAAAAAAAAAGCAGCAACATGGTCCCTGTTAGTTTAATTGAAATGAGGGGTCTAGAGGTCTTGTGTGTCTTTTGAGCAAAGCTCTGTGAATGTGCAGACACAGAAGCTAATGATCACTACACAGACACACACAGACCTCGTCTGGCAGTTTCCCAAAGCTGACGCACACACACACACACACACACACAGGGCAAATCGACTGAGGGAGCTCAAAGCAGCGGCACATTTAAAAAGCATAGTGGGAAAAATTCCACCAGTCTGTTTTGCATTCTCAGCACTAACACTTACACCAAAGGTTTTCACAGCTTTTGTTGGTTTTGTATTTTTTCCCCTCTCTCTCGTTCCCTCCCAAGGCCTTTGATTCTCAACTCTCTCTGTAAAAACATTAAAAAAGATAATCCATTGGATCTAATTGACACAAAGCTCTGGGTTCCCCCTCCTCCCCTGCTCCTGTCCAACGCCTATGGTCCTGTTTTCTTCTGAGAAAGGCCAAGTGTTTTTGTCCAGTAAATACCACAGAGCAGAGACAAAAAAGACGTCTTTAAAATGCAGTCTACAATCCATTACACATATTCCCCCTGCATATCTATTGAGTAATTATTCATTAGAAAACATTTAACGTCACAGTGAATTTCACACTAGGCAGTTGAAACACAATAGAGGAGATTTGGCCTATTTTGGGGTGAGGAGTTGGGGAGGGGGCTGGCTGTACAGAGGAAGGGTGAGGGCGAAGGAGGCGGGGGGAGGTGGGGAGCAGCATTTGTCTGATCTGAGAACCTCTGAATCAGGGCCATCTTGAGACAACGGGCCGGACTAAATAGTGCAGTAACGATGTGTGCCCCGCTGCTTGCTGTGACACACATTTAGTTTGCCCTGACGGCCAACAATAGAGACTTGTTCTTAGCAATCCTGAGCTGCAATTTGGACTTCATTACTCTGCTCACACTCTGGGCCCCATAGAAGGAGAGAGGAGGTTGGTCAGATGAGAGGGTATTTTTTTCTTCCACCTGTCGGTTCCATATCCCCAATCCTCACCCCTCTGTCCCCAATAATACCCCTCACCCCGTGTCCCTACCACTAACCCCAACCAACCCCCTTCCCACAGCCCCCACTGCACTCACCCACCCACTTTAAGCCAATGAGACAGGTGAACAATATCATTGAAGGAACTCTTTTTTGGACGTCAGAATCAATCTGGCAAACGTAATGGTAGTGTTGCTGGTGTGGGGTATCTGTGACGCCCCCTTTCTTCATGGGAACAAACTTCTCTGTGCGCAGCACAAGCAGACAATATGCAGGGACAGCGTGACTTAGGGATCTGCCATACAGTATTACAAGTAATAACATGAACAGATAAGCCCCTGTCAGGAGCAGGGATAATGAATTCAGTGCTGATAATAATACCAAAGTTTTTGCTTTTCATTCACTACGCTGACAAAACCTAAGGGCTTGGTTGGTCTCCATTCAGAGTTCCTTTGGTGTCCTGCAGGTATTTCTATTCAAGAAATGTGTCTGTGGCATGCAGAGGTGTTTCCAATAACTCTGTCCCAGAAAGGCTGAACACTGAATGGGTGACAAGTAGAAACACCCTGAAGTTTTCTCTCATGCATGTTTTATATTATCAGCCTGTATAATACAAAACCCAGTCCTGGACTGTAATGTTGCCGGGTCATAATTAAACCATCTACAGCCCAATCTGATGCAGCGGGGGTATAATGTAATGATAGGTAAAGAATCCACCCAGCCATTGTCAGATCAGGTGAATTGCTTTGCTACCTCAGAGCTCAACCAATTGTATTTTAATTAAGAGATGGTCCCTTTTCTCGGTCTAGAGTGTCAGTGTTGCCTGAGACGGTGTGACCTCATCAGTGTAAGGAGTGAAGATCGCCTCAAATGAAGGCAGGGAAAGAAGGGGGGGAAGCAAATACGGAACACGAATACTTATCTACATCTCTGGGGGGGGTTGGCCTTTCTATCATTTTAATATTATTTAAGTTGTAGTGTAACATTGACATGGAAGCAACATTTACATTATTTCAATTCTTCCTACATCAATAAAGCTTCCAGCAGCCAGTTGCTAAAAATGCAGCCAAATATGGCTAAATATAGCCATAACATAACATCTCCCACTGACTCCACTTAGATTACATCTAAAATGGAATTGTTGCAAATGGTTTCATTTGAAATTGATCAAGCATCAGCAATAAACCCAGGGAAACATTTACTACATACTCTGAGATGCATGTTGTACTAGTATTCTTGACTTTCTGTCGAGAACCTATTGTAGTATTTGTGTATGCCATCGGGGCCAGATCCAAATGATGGAATTAAAAACCATGATACAAACAAATGTGATGCTAATGTTTGATTGCTTCAAACTGAGTAGCAAAAATGAAAGATGTTTTAAATGTAAAAAAAGGCAAAGATTATCCAACATTAAAGAATAACGAATGATCTGAGACCATAAAGCAGTGGTTCTAAACTTTCTTCACTGGACCCCCTTTGTAAACAGGACTATTTCCACTCCACCCCCTACCATCACACACACCCCTGCCCACAACAACACATTCACAACTCTCTACTGTATTAAATGAACAAGCACCTAAAATAAAAACTGCCCTTCCTGTTTGACAAAGAAAATATATTTACCAATCAGTGCATTTTGGCCCAAAAATAGTGAAAAATTAATTAATTTGCCTTGCTGCACATCCTAAAACAGCCCACCACCCACTTTAGGAACCACTATTATAGAGTAACATCAGGGCTAAAATCTGCTCTGCTCCAGGAGCCATCAAGTATCACAGATAAATCTCTGGTCAATGATGAACTTTCGAGGACTGTCACATTGAAATATCCTGAAGACACAGACAGAACAACAGTAAACAATGAAAATGTTTTTATAAAAAATAAAAATTAAACCCAAACCTGCATTTTTGAAGCTGTATTTGTCTTTGTCCAGATAAGGAATCTCAGTGAGACTGAAACAAATCCCCTCCCTTAACAAACGTTAGTCCAGACCGAAGTGTACCCTGTGTCTGCTTGCATGGAGACGATCGTTGGACCTGTAAATGTAGATTTGACAGGAGTCCAGATTGATTATCACTGACAAAAACAAAAGCACGTCCACTGTCCTCTCTACATCATTTGGATTTCTCCATGATGGTAAGATGATTGTGATGATGTATTAAGGCCTGTGAGCAACTGCTCCTTTCCATCATCCTACCCCAGTCTCAGGCCGCCGTAAACCAGGTACTTAATCATTCATGTCATGGGAGGTGGAGAGATGGAGATCTTATTCAGTGCTCACCTGAGTATCTACTGCTCGACTGAGTGTAACGTAACGAGACAGAAACAAGATCCAAACTGTAACAGTCCATCCTTCCCTTTCTTTTTCTAGGTCTAATAACTGGTCTCTGATTGGATGGATATATTACCATTAATAATCAGCTGCCGATTGATTGGTCTGTGTGAAAACACAGGCCAAGGGGAATAGCGCTGCGAGTGCTAAATGCTACTGTGTTTATACCCAAATGTAATTACCTACATTTGTGATTGGATGAAACCCATTATGAGATAATAGTCTGTCTAATTGAAGCTCACCTGATAGTGCTCAAATGATGGGCATCAGAGTAGCAGCAGTGGTACACTGTTAATGGGAGTAGAATAATGGACATTGACCTCAGGATGACCCAGACTGAGAACATGGACAGATGTGGACATCATCTCTGAGGACTGAAAGGCCTTTAAGCTCAACCTAAAAGTGCTATATAATGGAAGTTATGTCTATCCATCATAAACAATATGTTTCTAACTATTGATTATGAAACCATTGGCTTCTTTGAGGATCAGCACAATAAGATTCCTGATGGAACCCTCCCAATGTATCGGGTCGTAGAGCTACACTTGGCATGTTCCTTCCACCTGTGTGTAGATTAGTGTACAGGTGGATTTCAACCCAGGCTGTACAGGTTTGCTTGGTTGAAACTTTGATTAACAAAAGCTAGCATTCTAGTGGAGTTGGGAGCAAACTTCAGAGTAAAGTGTCAGTCCTAAAGCCCATGAGCTTCTTAGACCATGACTACAAACAAGCAATGCAGTCTTTCACAGCAAAAACAAGCAAAACAACTACTTATCAAACCAATTGAGCTTTTTAAATAGGATGGGTGACTCAGAGGTAAACTTGTTTTTGTCCCAATATTTGGAGTTTGTTGTAGGAGTCAATGGAAGTGAATTTGTCAGTGAAATTTCAATCACTCTCAAACAGATCTGTTTGATGTTTGTTCATTCTGCTTAAATATTATATTGTGTGCATTAACAATCTCTTACATCACACCGTTAGACAGTAAAAATAAAGCTGTGGAGGAGAAATGTGTCTGTAAGTTTAGAACCACATTGCCTCTATGCTCGGTGTCTCCTAAAACTTCCCTGCACACCTTGTGTTGAGGTAGTGGATGGGAGAAATAATGTGTTTATAAGTGTAACCTGGTAACCAGCATGAGAAAACACAGGTGTCCATTTCTCTGCTCTGCTGACCTGAAGGTTAGAAAAGCTCAGGTGTCACCACCTTCATGGATTGATCAATGTTTGGAGAGCCTTCAGTGGACCGCTCTCTGCGCTCAGCCGTATGAATTTCAACTATTCAGTCTCCACTTCAGAAAAGTTGTCAAGGTTACCTCTAATGTGGACCCCACCTCGCCCCAGCCCAATGGCCTGGCAATGCTTGTCCAATCTTAACAAGCTTTGTGAAACCCACTGGGCTCTGATTCAGCACGAGACCCGGCAAATCCAATTACACAGGAGTCAGAGAGGTTGATTTTCCCATTATAGATTCCATGCTGAGAATGAGAGCTGATGATAACACCCACATCACACCACCACTGGCCCCCCTCTCTGCTTCCCCCTCCTCATTTTGTCTCCATTTTACTGTGGCCCTCCCATTATATCTGCATCTCTTTCTATCTAATTCCTACCCCCCGCCTCCCCAAAAAACCTTCATTCTTCTTCATCCCTTTCTTCAGATCTCTCATTCTTCCATAGTCTTCTAATTTTTTCCGAGCAGCGTAACGAAGGCTGAGCCCCATCATCAGTTCAATTTGAAGCTGCTAGGTCTGGAGGAGTTACTCCTGACCCAGCACTCATTTAAATCTAAGATTAAAATTCTCAGTTTTTTTATATTCTGTCCATATTATTGCACTGTGGCTAATTTGTCAATTAATGATTTGTTTGACTTCATCTAAATGACCATTAGGAACAAAATTATTTATGCATTTGATTAAACTTTTTAAGGTCAGTGTAAAACTGCATAATTATCTGAACAACTTGACTTAGCGATGCCTTTGTGCCATACTGACCAGACATCACCAACCTGCTGTGCCACATAAAAACTAATGGAAGTTCTTTTGGAAATGAGGTTCTTTTACACTCGATCAGCTGTGAAAGGAAAAGGACTTTTGCTTTATCTTTACTCATAAGTAACTGACCTTGTCTCAGGCCAGAGACTTTGGTTTTGACACAGGTCACTAAGAGGTCAGTGCTATTGACCCCTATGAACCCCAAAGACAGGGTCCTTCTCTGATCCTTGAGGACAATAGGGTTTGGCCAGTCTGTCCATGATGCAGAGAAATAGTGACTGACCAGTACTGACCAGTACAGACCAGTACTCTCCCATTCATATTCCAGGTCCTCCACGTTGGTTGATGTCAGAAACAAAGACAAATGGCATTTAGTGGTTTGTCTTTAAAAAGGAAAAAAAAAGCAAATGTTATACCAAAATTAAAAACAAAACTAGAAGTTTAAATATTGAAGATAATGAAATATTTTAACCTGTTAAAAATATAATAAAAAGACAAGACAAGGGAAGTAAGGATAGGGGGTAATTTGTCACTAGTTTAGATTGTACAAAGTACAGTTAAACTGTAGTTTTGTAGTTACTAGTTTTAAAACATTATCTAAAACACAACTACACCTTTCATTTAAAGAGAGAAAACGTATAAATAACAGTAATATTATATAAGTAGATGTTACTTATTCCTCATCACAACTGTTCTTGTTGACCAAATAAGTTAATAATTAAAATAAAAATAACCTACTGTAACACATATTACATAAAATAAATAAATTTAATTTCATTTATCTTGTTGCAACCCCTTATTAAAAGTGCTGCACTCCTCAGGGGGCCCCACCCCCCACTTCGGAAGCCACTTATTTTAATATTGGCACTGGAGACAACAAAGACCACAAGGAATGTTAGTACTAATGGCACGGTGGTAGAGGAACAGTATGTTGTTGTTTGGTAGAATCATTAATAGTTTTGTTGCACATGTGATGTTCATATATGGAGAGAAAGAGACAAAAACTCCTTTTTTTTCCTGAATCACACACCATCAAACACTGAGGAACATTATTCAACTGCTGACAGAGTTTGAAGGAACACAAATGAAAACACTTCAACTGATTACAGCTTATTCAAACTCAGCTGCTAAGGCTGTGCCATCAAACCAACTAAAAATATAGGATGCAGAGGTGGATATGCTAGAATTATTTTCTAGAAGGAAAGTACTTCCATCTCCAAATAACTTCTATCTGACTGTCTCCTCTTCTGTATATACTGACTGGGGTTTTTAAGGATTACAAGTGTGCTTAGTGGCACATTTAAAAGCCAAACACACAATCAATATCAAAACTTCTTAAATTAAATTACTTGACAGGTGTAATAATGGGTTTGGAGACTCCTCAAGTGGGCAGTAGGTTAAAACGTGGTCTTTTGACTCGTGTTTGACTCATGTTTACCATGACTTGACAGTGTGTCCAGAGGGGTCATTTTAGGTGACATGCTACTCCAAGAAAACACGAGAGAACTCTTAGCCAGCAGAGAAGATTAGAGTGAGGGTGAGTCTGAGCTAACCCTCTTCTCAGACTTGCCAGTGTGTTTTAGTAAATACTTGGAACAGGACAAAAGCACAAGCTGCAAACACAGGCCATACACTTAGGCTGTGACCCCATTGTTTTTCCATTACTTCTGAAAAGGAATAAGAGAGCAGTGTGTAGTCACTCTCTTCCAGGAAGGAGCCAAAGGAGGTTCTCGTGTCTCTACTATGTAGCACACACACAGCCAGCTCTGGCCCTGGGTCACTGCCATTACCTTCATGGTTTTAGTTGGTCCACGTAGATCAATGTCTGTGCAGGTTCCCAGTCATCCAAGTAATTTAATCCAAAAATAGTTACACTAAGGGTAACTGGACAAAGTAGGTTTTTTTTAAAAACATTTCAGCTCTCATCCAAGAGGCTGAAGAACTGAAGAAGCCTCTTGGATGAGAGCTGAAACGTCTTAAAAAAAACAGATAGATTAATTATTTAAATGTGGCACCATTTTTCTCAAATCTCCCCTAAAATTTTTGACTTACCCTCACATAGCTTAGGTAAACTATAGGTTCAGGGTAACTGGTCATAAGAGTTGCATAGCCCCGAACTCACTGTATTTAGTAGTATACATTTCTGACACATTTGTATGAGTTTGGGCAGTTTTTTAAATGTTTTTCTACCCGCATCTGGAAACACTGCCCTCTATTGTTGTGTTTTCCAATTCGTTACAAACATCAATGAATGTACTTTTTGTTTTTTGTTTTTTTGCTTTATAAATTAATTAGCCACAGTACTTGAGACACAGTAATTGTAACTGTTCCATTAAAAACGGTACGTGCTGTATTTTCAAATATCTAAAATGCAGATTATTATTCCAGACACTCCAGGTTACACACCCTAATCCTGCGGACTTTAGGACCTCCAGGAACTGCCCTTTGGGGACTGCCTTGTTTTTGTCCGTTACGTTCATGCATATAATCATCGATTGTGCCTATTGTGACCGATTGATTTACCATCTGTAAGGTCCCCAGAGCCTAACACCGCTGTTACTGCAGTTTCCTTACAGACCTACAGGAAGTTACCTTTCATTTCCGGTGTCACGTTTACTTTTAAACTCTTTTCACCCTGGTGTTTATCATATTATCAAAGTGGCAAACTACAGATGTTTTGTTGAAATAAGTAAATAATATTTTATTGAAATGTTTTAATTTAAACTACAGTGAATGAAATGTAATGCTATTTTCTTCTGTACACTAACCTGAAAGTTTACATTAATGTATCAATTGATTTAAAAATCAACTTGTTTATTTGATGAACATATGATTCTTTCAAAACAGTCGTGACGTCAGATTTCACATTTTAAACTGCAAATTAAATACATCTGACGTTGAAAACAATAGAACTGAACACTATCTAATGTTGAGTTAAGGAATATTCACCCTGAAAACAAGCATCTATTTTATCATATTTCATGAAGGTGTTGAAGAAGTAATAGTAAATTATTTAAAATAAAGGGTTTGGCTGAAAATTACATTGCTCTTTTAATTACTTGCTCTTGACTGTAGCATGATATAGGTATAACTGTATGAGACGGACTACAAGGCTAAGTTATAAGAAAGCGTTTTTTGTGCATGCATGGACAATGGGTGTTTACTATATATCTTTACTATATTTATCCATTCTTCAGTTTAAGAAAATGTGGAAAACTTGTTTTTGTTTTTATTTCTTCAATCTCAAATAAATATTTTTTATGTGCAGACAAATGTATAAGCTGACTACGTCTTGTACAGACATTGTCTCAGTCTTTTTCCTCCACTTGAGTGAACTGCCATGAAAAGTCATTTTTTTATACCTTCTGATTTACTTCGCGAGAGGAAACGATGAAACAGTAAGTTTTCATTTCTTGGGTAGTCATCTGCAACTCAGACATAAGTCATTCATGCCATAGTGTCTATGTGTGTTTTCTCTCTTCTGTCTCTGTTTGCAGATGACTGTGTGTGTGTTTCTTTGCCGCCGCCTCCTGCAGCCCATCCGGCGCTCTGTACCTCCTCCTTACGCGCCTCCCCGGCTCTTTTTCCCACTGCTGGGAGGAATAGGACGCGGCCACAGCGGCGGGAAGCAAATTATCTTTAAGCACTTCCTAAAAGAAAAAAAAGCTCACACTTATACACTGATGCCACCACAACTAAGGAGACACATCGTCCCAGACATGAACCAGAGAACTCAGTAGGAATTAGCTGACAGCTGAGTCCAGGCTGGCACCAGTGCTCTTCTAGTGCGCTACTGTTGCTCATTAACGCACGTTTAACATAATTTGGATAGTCATTCTTTTTCATCTATTATAATAAACAACTACGATGTCTGGATGGAGTGTGGCCTGAGGTCTCGGCGGCTGGACGTGGAAACTGACGGAGCACTGCGCTTAAAAGAGAGGAGGAAAAGGGCAGAAAAGTGAAATAAAAGGAAACTGGAAACGATACTATCTGTTCGTGATGTGGTGACTGGATGTTCTTCAGAGCAGCTGTCAAACTCAGCCGATCCTCCTGCCCCTCGGGCCACTGGGAGCTGTTCTGAGGTCTTCACTGCGCATGTCAGAGCGCTGGACAGCTCCAGAGAGGGAAATTTAAAAAGGGGTTTTGCACAATCAAGTGCAACACAGTGAAATACAGTACAGGAGCTGAGGAGTGTCTCTCACTATCTCCAGTATCATCCAAAACAGGTGACTTTTCCATAATTTCTCAGGTTCAGCTTAAATTATTACTTCTGACCTTTAGTTTTTATGACATATTTGACAATTCAATTGTTGTTTTAGGTTTCTTTTTTTAATTTTGCTGTAATATTCTGCTTAAGTTAATGTTGTGGGGAAAAAGGGAAGCCAGCTTTGAACATATTTATTTCATGTTTAGGTTTTTATGTAACATACATGATTTCCATTGTTAAATTGTTAAAAACGTTTTTTGTTGTTGTTGTTTTGATTCAACACAAGGACTTTTTACTAGACATTTTTTAAATAAAATGTCAGCCCGCTGTGATAACCTATAAAGAGGTACATTGTTTTAATGTTATTGATGTATTTTCAGAGGCACCACACATCCCAAGAAATGATAGAAGGTGGAATAATATCCAGGATGTCCGGAATCATTGAGAATGCTGGCCATCATCCGTCACCACAGGACTACAGGTGAGTGATTTTGGCTGGAATCTGGCTTTGTGCCAGGAAATTTGTTACAGATTTTCTTGAGGACAAACAACACCTTTGCTCTTGGCAGCACATTGTCAAAATAGCTTAGCATCAACTGCTCAATAGATAAAAGGGATGTTTTTAGTGATGAAGTCTCTTTAAGGTGTTTTGCACAGAGTCATGGAACAAATTGTCCGACCTCGGTACGTTTCATCTAAAGGTAGATGGACAGCTCTTTTTGTGCATGAAAGGGGGTTGCAGAGAAAGAGAGAAAAAACCTGAAGAATAAATAATTTTCAGTCTGAATGGATCTGTCAGAAACCATCAGCTCTGTTTACACTCCCGCTGTCAGCACACCGGGCGTGAGCCTCTTGGCCTGGCAGCTCAGGAGGAGATGGGGTACCCCGGGTCAACACCACCATGCACAAGTGGCTCCCAATTAAAAAAAAAGCAGGAGTAGGAGGGGTGATATTTGGTGCTGC